AGCAATGAAACAGTGGTCATAGGAACTGTGACCGAATTTTCACAATGAACGACGTAAACAACATGTACCACCAAACTCTGCAGCCATAGCTCGCTGCATGAGTAGATGAACAAACTCAATGCTTTATAACTGCTTTTTGTGTTTACTCCTCCTCCGATTAGCACAGTGGGCTACGCACGTATGGTGCGATAGAAGTTGAACAGACCCACATACATTACTATTGTTTATTCATTCATTCCGCAGACCCTCAAGCATCCGAACCTCGTGAACCTCCTGGAGGTGTTCAGGAGGAAGCGCCGGATCCACCTGGTGTTTGAGTTTTGCGAGAACACCGTTCTGAGCGAGCTGGAGCGCCATCCTCGTGGGTGAGTGTCCAGCGAGAGGCGTTCTTCGCGAGCATCGCCCGTCACCACTGGGCCCTAGCGTCAATGCCGCTGGGGGCGTTATGCCGCTTGAACTAACTTTTAACTCCTTCGCCTGGTATGCAGGAGGTCGTGGGTTCGATCCTGATGCCAGCTGTATATTTTGAGTTTGCGTGTCTCTCTCTTTCTCCGTGGTCGCGTGGATTTTTCTACGGGTCCGCCGGTTTTTATCTCCACATTTAGAATCGACGTCACGCGTTTAGAGTGTTTGGCTGCTGCTCGAAATCTCCACGTGATCAGCCACTTCGTAGAGTCAGTTCGTTTCTGAAATATAGCTCTATAGTTCAGTGGGCCTTAACTGGTAAAATAAAATAAATACTTTTTAAAGTACCCCGGCACAGTGGAGGCAGCAGCGAGGATGTTGCAAAATTCCCTTCCCAGCCAAAAATGTGGACCCCACCTTGTTCCGTCTTCGTGGGATAGAGCGTTTCCCCCTCGCACGTGTGGGTTTTCCCCGGGTGCTCTGGTTTCCTCTCACGTGTAAACACTCATTAATTGGCTGATAACATATTCATATGTAGAGAACCACAGAGCTTGGGCAATTGTTGGCACCGGCTCATCTCGAGACTGCCGCCTCGCCGCTCGTCCGTGGTTCCTCTTCGCCCCTTTGAGTCGTCGTCCTCTCTCTACGAGAGCGAGGAGCAAACGCAGTGAAACATAATCTAATGTTTCACGAAACAATATTACATTTCACAATGGGATCATTATCACAATATCGATTTCCCATGAGCTTTGCAATTGCCAGATGCCGCTGCTGCAAGGATGAGCGGCGTTCGCATGATGGTTTATGCTCCTTGACGAGAGATACAACGCACATGCAGTCCATGCACAGCAAGTTATCAAACAATTTTACAAGAACTCTATCCTCGGGATGATGAGATGTGCCGGAGAGGAAGATGCAACCTCCACACACGTGTCTGGCGTCTAAGACAAAGATCCCCCGATTAGAGGACCGAGATGTTTCACCGGTAAATAAAACCGGCCTCATCAGACGATAGCCAGAGTCACAACTTGTGGCTTTGCGAGTAACAAATCGGCACATTTTGTTTACGCGACAAACCTTACGAATTGGCTTCGTCTGGTGGTGGCGGGTTTCACGACACATTTATATTTACGCCATCTAACCCAAAAATCCCCTCTCTATTACGGATAATTCTGGTCGCGAAAGCCAGCTGCTTGCTGAACTGAGAAACACGTCGTGTTTTTGGCCTCCACAGCGGAAAAACTGGGAGCCCTATAACCGCCCTCTATTGTTCACGATATTTATAAGCAAATGTCGCTCGGCAGCCAGACTGGGGGCAGCCCGCCGCGAGTGTTTGTGTGTTTTATAAAAATAGCTTCGCCACGTAATTTTACGCTGTAACACAGACGTTGGGCATCGCGGCGCTTGACCGGGTTTATTCGCAAGGTAACACGACCCGAGTTCCCATGACGCTGGCGTGTATCGATGAACGCGTGACGGTGGCTGTGGAAATGTTGCCGTGGAGTTTACGCTCGTCTGCAGAGTTTGATGTGAAGCGAGCGGGTGTTTTGCAGTAGCCGTGACCTTCAGCGGTTATTTTGTTTCGTGACGTGAAATTAGGTTTGCACTCGACTTCTTTTTTTTAGTAGTAATAGGTTTTTACCCTTTCAACTGGTACAAAAACTGACACCTTTATACAAGGCATCATGTTTGCAATAACCACAACACAAGCAGTCAAAATGCAAACAAAAAGAAACAACTCTGATAATGATAATGATATGCACTGTCCTTGAAGTTGATTGGTTTTTGAGTTGTACGCCTTTTGGCGTCATCTGATAAAGGAGGTCTCATAGTGTTCTTTTTTTTTAATCATTACAGAAAGGCGAGCTCAGATTTTTAGGACACGTGATGGGCAAACAAGAGACTGAATATGAATGCGTTTTGCATGGGAAAATTCTAGGTACCGCAAGAAGAAGCCACGGAAGACAGCAACATGAGTTACATGATAAGCAACATGACTTGGATGCAACTGGGAGGAGTATCTAGCGTAGAGGTCGTGGGTGCAATCATGGACAGAGCTCGATGTAAGGAAGGCCATGATAGCCAATTTATTTGAGAAATGATACAGAAAGACTAACGTTGCCCATAGACTAACATTGCCCATAGAATTACATTACCCATAGACTAACATTGCCCATAGACTAACATTGTCTATAGACTAACATTGCTCATAGACTCACATTGCCCATAGACTAACATTGCCCATAGACCAACATTGCCCATAGACTAACATTGCCCATAGACTAACATTGCCCACAGACTAACATTGCCCATAGACTAACATTGCCCATAGACTAACATTGCCCATAGACCAACATTGCCCATAGACCAACATTGCCCATAGACTAACATTGCCCATAGACTAACATTGCCCATAGACTAACATTGCCCATAGACTAACATTGCCCATAAACTAACATTGCACATAGAGTAATATTGCCCATAGACTAACACTGCCCATAGACTAACACTGCCCATAGACTAACATTGCACATAGATTAACATTGCCCACATATTAGCATTGCCTATAGACTAACACTGCCTATAGACTAACACTGCCCATGAACTAACACTGCACACAGACTAACACTGCCCATAGACTAACATTGCCCATAGACTAACATTGCCCACATATTAGCATTGCCTATAGACTAACACTGCCCATAGACTAACACTGCCCATAGACTAACATTGCACATAGACTAACATTGCCCACATATTAGCATTGCCTATAGACTAACACTGCCTATAGACTAACACTGCCCATGGACTAACACTGCACACAGACTAACACGTTATTGAGTAATATCATCGACAGAGCGAAGTGGAAGGAAGGCCACGGTTTCTGCCATCGTTGAGAAGGGACATGGGACCCATAGAGACAAAGAGAGATACAGCACTTTTAGTTGCCTCATAAATTATCTTTGAGCTCTGAAATTTGCAGTCTTATATTTCACTTTTTCAGTCAAATCCCGTGGGATACTGTAATTCATTTCTGTTGGCCAGGAGTTATAGAATGACGTATGTGCGTCAAGTACAATCTTAGGTGGTTAATATTCTCTCCCACGCATTACAGCACATGAATGTTAGCAATTAATAGTCTTGGCTAAATTCGAAATGAAAAGCAGCAAACCAATTTGCCCCAAGGAGTTACGTTTTTTGATCAATGCGTACGACCTGGCCACAACACAGATCAGAAACACGGACACTGCCAAAGGACGGCTGAAAATTGCTCAAAGAAGCACGGACAAATGCACGCAGCGCCAGGAATCACACCGCGAGCACACGGCTCACGGAGCGGATGCAAGTTCGAGACGTCACGCGATCGACCGCCGAGTTGCGCGTGGTCTGGGCAGGACACCAGCCACCACCGTGAGGGCTGGGGGCCAGGCCCCGTGGTGGAGTCGCGGCCAAAAGGAGTCAATGCACCCGAGGTCACGTCCCATTCAGTGTGAGGCCGAACCGTGGCACCGCGGACGCGCGCTGACTCATTTCCACATCACGGGGGGCAATGTCGAGGCCGAGTGTCGCTCTGCCGCGCGTTGGTATTTGCCGGACGACGCGACGAAGACTCCGGGCAACGCAGGGCCACGCGCCCGCCCACCAGGCACGTGTGAACTCTCTGACACGGCGGTGTTGTTATCGCTGAACTCAAAGTTGTTTGTTTTACAAGCGTTCTGTCGGAAGACGTGCGTGCCGGAGCACGTTTGCCGCGTATGCGGGGCAATGCATCGTTGGTTGTTGGGCTGCGTTGGCGCGGGTCTCTGTGAGCCTCAATCTGCCCGCCAGTTCTGGACAAACCGGCCTGTGGACTAAGTCCGACTCTGTTACATCGTTTAATCATTCCAAGTTTCTCGGGAAAACGAGCGTTATTAGAAAGTTAGACACGGAGGCTTTCGCGACCAGTGTTATCGTTCCGTTGTTAAGTACAACCCGCTTCATCAGGCGACAGCCAACATTGAAGCTGGTTGCAATTACCAGCAAAACGTCGTACTCGAATTATGAATTTTGTGGGTTTACTCTCCAACACACGGATGTGCTGAACTAGCAACTACTTGGCACGTGTTGTTCACGTAACAAACCTTACTAATTGGCTGTATCAGGTGGTGGCGAGTTTAACAACGCAATTATATTTACGCGATCTAACCCATGAAACCTCTATATTAGGGTTTTATAAAATTGGCATTTATTCCTTTGTTTGTTTGGCAATTAAATTTGTGGCATCAACTCTGAAAGTGTTGAATGTTTGTGGGGGGAAAGGTGTCTTTTTTTCCATGACGAAGCGCACCTGCTTTCCTGCTTGTCACCTTGCCACGATTCACTCGGTCGATGTGCATCAGCGGTGTGACGTTGCTGGGGCTATCGTTGCCGTTTTAATTGCATGCCGCGTGGGTCACGGTGAGGAAATATTCCACGAGCGTGTGCGTCACTGAGCGTCGTCTAACGGCACGCGCTACTCGTGTTGTTGACCCCCCCACCCCCCAGCCCCTCTGAGAGAGGGTCGTGGTCAGATTGCACCAACCGGGCCGTGTGACAGGCACCGTCTCACGCGGCGTCACGCGGCCCGTTTAGAAACAAAAAAAACCTAAATTCTGTTGGTTTCGCAGGACAGTGTTCGGGATCAGGATTAGTTTTGTTTGTCTATCTTGGAGAAATCCGATGGCCTACGAAGCTCTTTTTGCGCACGAGGGAATTTCAATCACCGAGTGCGAAAAGCCACAGCAGCAGTGCGAATTCGGCCATGCGACCCAAACTGTGGACCGTGCAGTAAGCCCACCGCGGTCCGTGCTCCTCCAACGGAGCAGGAGGAACGGCGAAACACCACGAACTCTCTCCCGAAGCCCTCCCCGTGGCGAGCAGACCTCGACGTGAATAACCTGCGATGTGGCTCGTTCTGCAGGCTCCCTGACGCACACGTGAGGAAGTACACCTGGCAGATTCTGCAGGCTGTGAACTACTGCCACAAGCACAACGTAAGTACCATCTCACACGCGTAGCGGTGCTCCCGCGGCCAAGATCATGATCCACGATGGATGTTTGGATCTGATCGCATGTGCAGTGTGTCGCTTCACCTCCTCCAAACCGACGCGGCCAATTAATAAAGCTGCCACGTGAACGAACGGGATTAATTGGCCGTAGCGGGTGGAGGAGGGCTATACGACACGCATTGTACTGAAGCGATCTGACCCTAACAGTGTATTACGAATCACAACGTTCGCACACCTCTCGCTCTCGCTCTCTCTGTGACGTTCACGAGGTTGATGAGTGAACACGATGGTCTCAGGAGGGTCCCGCCAGGTTTACGCGCGTCGCGGGAAATCGCAAAGTGCTTGCCGCCATCACACAAATGACCTCCTCTTCGCTCAGCCACCGTCGTGCATGTTTTATGGTTGACACGCTCGCGCACTATTAACCGGGGGCGGCTTTTTTATTTTTCGATTCGAGCCGTGAACCTCAATGGCTGTTAATGGCGATGATGACGACGACGACGATGATGAAAAATAACAAATTACGAAATACGTCTCGGAGAAAAGTCTTCAACTCCAAAAAACAATTCTAGATTTGAAGCTTTCGTGACTGCAAGGATTCATATTCTTAGGTTTTTTCGGTAAAGTCACGTAGGTAAAAAAATAAAATTAATAAAAGTAAAAATGAAATAAAAATCACAGATTTTTTTTTTACTTTTATTAATTTAAATTTTTTACCTACGTGACTTTACCGAAAAAACCTAAGAATATCCAAAAACCACCTCCAAGGGTGGCAAGCGACGGCGTTACACCGCGGAGCTCCGTGATCGTGAGTCGTCTCGCAGCCTTCGACAACGGGCGACAGCTTGCATCAGCCCCGCCTCCCTTGGCCTGTCAGGCGAATGAGTTATTGCACCCCCCTCGTTGTGTGGTGCGGCGTCCTTCCTGCTCCTCCTCCTCCTCCTCGTGCTGCTGCTCCTGCTGCTAATCATCATCATCGTCGTCGTCGTTCTCGAGCCAGGAGCAGCCACGCCCTGCTTCTCACCGCTGCCGCATGCATTAGTAATCTGTATTCCGAGAGCACCTGGCCGCCCCCCCACCACTCCGCCATCGTGAAAGTCATCCTCTTTCCACTCTCGCTACCTTAGCGATGTCATAAAGAGTACGCGGAGTGGATGGGCGTTCGTTCCCCCAACAGCTGCCAATCGTGCCAGGAGGCGTTGGTCATCCGATATCGCTTTTCTTTATTTTAGGTGAACGATTTTCATTCATTACGCTTCGTTGCCGGTAACCGAGGGCCATCCTCCTTACAACACCTGCCCCCCTCTCCCCTCCTCACACAGGAAATTTAATTTGGAAAGATACTGGAACCCGTGGAAGTAAATGTATCATGTTAAGTGTATTTTTTCATTGATTTATGCCGAACCTTTCATACGCCGCTATTTAACTTACCTTCGGTGCCTCCCCGTTGTTCTTTGTTTGACGTTCTTCTATTTCATTATGGCAACGTCAACATACGACCCCCCCCCCCTCCCCGTGTGTCGTGTTGCAGTGAACCGTTTGAGTGGCGTAAACAAGACGGGGTAGTGACCAGGCATAGGCGTGAAGGGTTAGCTATAAATACATTTGACCGGTTATGATGTTTGCCGATGACCGCCGTGACGGAATAAACTTGGCGGTTAGCATGGCGTGAGTTAAAAGCGAGACGATAAACCGTGGAAATACTGCCGGTGCAAGTTATGGCACGGAGTTGTTACACCGTTGGTCTTGCCAACAGTTCACGTGATGCACACACACGCACGCACGCCACACACTTTGGTGGGATTGCGTACGCGAGATATGCTAACGATGCAACCCACGATTGAAAACAAACTACACTGATCGCAAATGTAATTTCAGGAATACGTTACGATCTGTCGGTGAAACGTGTCCTCTTTCGTAAAAATAAAAAGCAGTTAAAAAGTTGGAAATAAAACAATTATCCGCTCACATTTGGAGGCTGCTCCTAACCATCAGAGTAACAGCAATTAAGGAATCACCTCCACCATGAGCTGGCTGTGAGCAGTGCGCTTATTTGCGTTCTTAAATCGTGTTCTTAACAATTGGAATTATTGTCGCCATTACACAATATTATAGAGGATTACGCAGAACATGCTGAGAGGCAGTAGTCTTATCGACAGATGATGTTACCTGCATTTAAAATAATAAATTGCTAAGCATATATTTGCAATGCATATACTACTTATGCACTGTAAATGCATGTATGCAAGTGGGTTAAAAGAGGCCACCGTGGGTTAAACGCCGTCTTTGTCCCGGTGCTCAGTAGCAGCAGGGCCTCTGGAGGAGGGTCAGGTTCAGGTGCAGATGGGAGTAGTGCCTCTCATCTGCACCTCAAGCTGACCGCGCCTGGATGACCTCACTTCTATGAGCACCAAAACAAAAGAGTTTTTGACCCCACGTAGGCCTCTTAGTAGCCCGCCCTATGTGTGAGACCAAACTTATTTAATTTAAGCAATCTAGTCGGAAAGCTTTTCTGTTGTTGTTGTCGTGAATCAGATTCTACAATAAAGTTAACGACGAATTTGCACAACGCTGCGTTTCGCCCAAGTGTTACGAAAGTTATGCGCTGTTAAAAGGGAAATGCGTTTACTCAAGCAACATGGAGGCTGTGATCACCACTGGCACGTTCGGGCTTGTGGTCTATGGTGCGCGATGTTAACCCAAGTTCATTCAGGAAGTACCATTCTGCTCCAACGCAGAACTCCTCTGATTCGCAACCATATATTCTGCGACTTCTACTATCCGCAGGAGCTGTACTGGGAACTATAATACGCGCCTCTATTCCCCATCCTGCTTTGCAGAATGTCTTCCTTATTGTCCGCGAATGTGTTGGTGACCCAGAGGAGTAGAATCACAGTTGATAATTGGTTTTTTACCCTTCTATTTGGCAACAAAACATGGGTTGGACCAGATGAGACTAGGCTCTAAGGAAAGCTGTCTCGGGTGTGGACCAATCAACTTCAAGGACAGTGCACATTATCAGAGTTATGTTTTTTTTTGCATTATGACTGCAGGTATTGTGGTCTATGTAAACATGACTCCTTTTAAAAAATGTGTCAGTTTTGTTGCCAGATAGAAGGGTAAAAACCCAATTATCATATTTTTTACTGGCAAATGAGGTTCCAATGGTAGAATCACAGTTCCTATGATTACTGTTGTTACATTGTTTTTATAGCTTTATTTTGGTGATTTCCAAAACATGTGGTTAATCTAAATTGTCTTATGGGTTGCTATTGTTTGACTTTCATCACACTGGGATTTTTGCACACAGCGTTGTAATACGGTGTTTTTTCTGGAAGATTTGCTGGTTTATTCAGGGTGTTTTTGTTGCGCGTCGTCTTTTTAAGATGTTTCTCTGTTCATATTTTGTTTGTTGCGGTTGCACCCGACTCAAGAGCCGCATGGCTCATAGGGCTATCTCCATCTGCATATATATTTAAAAGGCAAAGTTGTGATTACGTGTGTCTGTTCAAAATGTTTAGCGTACTTCCCGACATGCAACAAACTGGAAATTTGCCATGTGGGTACTTTCCAAACTGTACACCATGCAAACATTATACAAATACACTTTTGTGTTTTTTTTTGGCAAGTGAGCTGTGACGTCACATCTGTCACGTGACCCGCGCACGTGGAAGTGTCACGCATTGTAGTGTAGCGGATAGCCCCGCGGATCATAGGAGATCCGGGATATTGGTCGCCTACGTTCCAGCGGATTAGAGTTCTCAAGCAGTCAAAGAAAATGCCGCACTCCGCTGCACCTCAGCACACAAACCTCTCAAACACCTCGAGCCGCGATACAGAGAGAGAACGCAGCCTCTTCAATAATTATTGGACCCAGCGTACAGTAACTTCGTGATGACTTTAAATTTCGATTTAAAGCTTTCGTGACTGCAGGGATTCATGCTTTCGGTAAAGTCACGTAGAATGGAAATAATAAACTAATAAAAATAAAACATAATAAAATAATTCTCACGACGTTTCGGCCACAACGCAAGCAGCCGTCCTCAGGTGAAGAACAGGTCTGTCGATGTCATTCTGACTCTGTCTTCTCGACAGACCTGTTCTTCACCTGAGGACGGCTGCTTGCGTTGTGGCCGAAACGTCGTGAGAATAATTTTATTATGTTTTATTTTATTATTTTATTATTTCCATTCTTCGTGATGACTTTCGGTGATGGTTGATGATGTGCCCTGTTCCCCCAGTGCATCCACAGAGACGTGAAACCGGAGAACATCCTCATCACTAAACACGGCGTCGTCAAGCTGTGTGACTTTGGATTTGCCAGATTGCTGAGTAAGTGGATCTCAAGTGCGAATAACATCCATATGCTATGGGAACCTCATTTGCCAGTAAAAATATGATAATTGGTTTTTTACCCTTCTATCTGGCAACAAAACTGACACCTTTTTACAAGGAGTCATGTTTGTATAGACCGCAATACCTGCAGTCATAATACAAACAAAAGACATAACTCTGATAATGTATGCACTGTCCTTGAAGTTGATTGGTCCACACCCGAGACAGCTTTCCTTAGAGCCTAGTCTCACATGGGTTGGACCAGATGACGCCAAAAGGCGCACAACTCAAGGACAATGCACCATCAGAGTATGAGAGCTCGGGGCAAGCATCTACACTATGGGAACCTCATTGTATATGAAGCTGTTATAATTAATTAGTGTTTACACGTGGGAGGAAACCCACGCGTGCGAGGGGAAACACTCTATCCCGTACGGATGAAACAGTAGAATCCAGAGTTTCGCTGTACTGCCTCCTCCTGGCAAGCCAGGGAATAACACCTCAACGCCCTCAGGAAGGGAGTTTCGCAACATGGGTGCGATGCACCAACCCTCGCTACCTCCACGGTGCTGGATTACAGGCCATGTGCATAGCCACCAGCACCGCCACGCAGCATTTGAGACAGTTTTGATGAAACTTCTTTTCCACGGCTGCTTTATTGACAGACGCTCGGAGTCGGTGTGAGCGGCGCACGTGTTACTGCACGACCTCAATTGACAACCTGCAAAACCACCGCCACGTTCAATTGCTACGCCGGTGATATCAGGCAACCAAACCTGAATGCAATGAAATAGATGCTTAAACATCGGAGTAACAGCAATCAAGGAATCACCGGCACCCTGAGCTGGCTGTGAGCAGTGCGCATATTTGCGTTCTTAAATTGTGTTCCTAACAATTTGAATTATTATGCAGGATCATGCAGAACATGTAGTCTTATAGAGAGAGGATGTTACCTCCATGTACCAAAATAATCAGTTGCTAAACATCTATATATATTTGCAATGCATATGTTTATTACTTATGCATTGTAAGCGTACGTATGAAAGTGGGTTAAAAGAGGCCTGCGTGGGTTAAAAGCCTCCCTTGTCATTCTAGACTAAAATGTATAGTCCTATTGACATGCTTTCCGAAGCCATGCCATCGTTTCATGCTCAAGTGTCACCAGTTGTGAGAACCCAAGAGACCAGGACAGAGCCTCATGTGCAAGCGTGAACCTGCACCACCAAAATGGCAACAGCAAAAACAAATTCATTAAAAACGCGAACAAAAATAACAGAGTCGCACCGTGAGTAATTGTAAATGCTGCAACCCCAATACCCTGCAGCGCGAATGGGCTAGATTAAACGCAGCACGAATGACACAACTGAGCGAGCGAAACATTAAACAGGTTGAAGGGGGTGACGATGGTGCTGATATGCAGCACGGTTGGCTACGTACGGTGCGAAAGAAGACCAACATACACACGCAGTGCCGGATTATCCTAGTAGCACATATGTAGTAGTAGCTACAGGCCCCGCACTTTCAAGGCCTCCGCGCTAAATGCTTTCAAGCTATCAATTCCGATTCAGTGACACTGCACTTGCTCTATTACTATAGTACTATACCGCCTTCGACTTGTATGAACCACTGGGTGTTTGAGGTTAGCGATTTGTCGTATTAACTGGCTGTATAGCAAATAAAAAAATACAATTACTTTACTATGCAAGTTAAAACTTCGTGTTTGAATATTTACGTGTCTTTTTTGTTTTAATTTAGGGCCCCTTTATAACACACGCCACAGGCCCCATACCAGAGGTCGCAAACGGGTTTTGATTCCTTACCCGTACCCGTACCCGGCCGCACCAGGGTCGCAAATGGGTACTCGTACCCGGCCGTAGATGAATAACCCGGCCGGGTACGGGTAGCCGGGTATCGGGTAGGGTACGGGTATCGGGTACCCGGTTGCGACCTCTACCCCATACTAGCTATAACTCCGGCACTGCACACGCGACATTCGCGCGTGCAAACAACGGCGTCTCCCAACGTGCCGCGTTGCACCGCGCGCACCCTCGACCGAGTCCCTCCAGCCGCGCCAACCCCGCTCGTGCGCCCGCTGTGTTTTCCCAGCGGGCCAGGAGGACCGCTATACGGACTACGTGGCCACGCGCTGGTACCGCGCGCCCGAGCTGCTGGTCGGGGACACCCAGTACGGCCCGGCCGTCGACGTGTGGGCCGCCGGGTGCGTCTTCGCCGAGATGCTGTGCGGAAACGCCCTGTGGCCCGGCAACTCGGACCTGCACCAGCTGCACCTCATCACCAAGACCCTGGGTGATTGCGTCCGTCGCGCTCACGTGGCGGCTCGCGATTTGGCGGCGGGGCGACGTGGTTCGCGGGCTCGATGTGTGGACACGTTTGACGTTCTTCAAGCGCCGCCGCACGTAGTCAACCGCGCTCATCGGAAGGACGACAAAGTAAACGCAACAAGAAGCAGCTCTGAAGAAAATGAGTTTTCAATCATCCACAGCAGATTTCAATGTGCATAGCTCCAGTGGCTTGATGATGAGGTGGCGATAGAATGAGGCACGTCACGCATTATTCACGCAGCAAAAACAGAACGCACTTTACATGTTAGGGCACACGCGATTCTGGACTTGCGCACGGTTATATGTGCACCAGCTAAATGCCAGGGTCTGCTAGCCGCGGGAGGGCTTCAGGAGAGAGTTTGTGTCGCTTTGTTTGTTGAACTTCTTTGGCGCCAGACGTTGCCAACCGCGCTAATCGGAGGTTCCGTTCCTCTGTTGAATACAGCGGTTGGCTAGACGCTCCATAGTTTGGGTTGCATCCACCACAACGGTACCGTGGCTCGACTCTAACTTTTTATTTAATGTAACGAATAAGTGTAAATGAAACAACAAATGAGAATTTAAATGCTCTAGGATTGAAGCTTTCGTGACTGCACAAATTATCCTCATTGTTTTTTTTCGGTAAAGTCACGTGTGTAGAAATAAAATAAAATTTAAGTAAATAAAATTTAAATAAATCACGATGTTTCGAACGCAACACAAGCGCTCATCATCAGGTGTAAATGGGGTGAAACACATAGCGAGGGACACACATGGGGAGGGACACCTCGCACATAGCACATGGAGAACGGCAATGTAACAAGAAGATGAGAAACGAGAAACTCAACAGACCTTCGAAACATCACGTGACGCAAACCAGTCGGCCAACAACACAATTTTATTTATTTAAATTTAAATTGTATTTCTACATACGTGACTTTACCGAAAAAAGCAATGCATTTAAATGCTGTTTACCAATGAGGAGTGGTATTGAATCCTGTAAATGTTACGTGTGACGCAAGTACATGCCAGGTTTAACGGCCTTTACAGCAGGAAGAAGCTGAAACATTTTCAGAAGCGATCTGTTCGGCGTTCAATGATACTAATCTAAGTGAAGCGTCACAAATCCAACGATTACATTATTTCGACAGTAATGCATAGAAGGTAGAAAACACAGGTAAATATATCAATTACCACAAATCTATGGGACCTTTTTGCCAGTCGCAAATGACGTCAAAGTGTTTATTTATCTTCATGGTCCACTCTAAAGCACTTTGGTAATGTCCTACATTGCGGGAGAATGACCGTCATAGCCACTGTCCTCACCATTACGTTCTCCAGCCACCCAAGCCGGCTACTCACTTTTTCAGAAACAAATATGACGGTGACATGGCTGAGGGGTCGCGTGTCTTACTGCTTGCCCCAGCGGTTCCCAGTTGGAAGCCCACAGCTACCCTGGTTATTACTAAGGGTGCCATGGTGCCAAGATGTTAACTACCTCACCAGGTACACAGTAGGTCGTGGGTTCGATCTCGACCCTCCAACCGTATATTTGGAGTTTGCGTATTCTCCCCGTGGTCGTTTGGATTTTTCTCCGGATCCTCCGGGTTTTCCCTCCACATTTAGAATCAACGTGCGTTTCGAGTATTTTGCTGCTGTAAATTCCCACATGATGAGCCACTTTGTTGAGCTACAATTTGTGGCCAGGTCACTTCTGGAATAGAGCGAGCTCAGTAGTGGGCCTTACCTGGTAAAATAAATGTAAAAAATTTATTTAAAGCTTTCGTGACTGCAGAGATTAATATAATTGGTTCTTTCGGTAAAGTCACGTAGAAGGGAAAAACAAAATTTAATTAAAAAAATTAAAACGGGAAAGGCTTATTGTTTTATATTTTTATTATTTTACTATTCCCCTTCTACGTGACTTTACCGAAAGAACCAAATAAAAAAATGTTAATAGTTTTAAAAATAGTTTTTAGTGTTACTGTGGGCGTTTTAACGATGCCAATGCGTGCCTTGCGCTTCACAATGGACGTTAAGAGATCCCGTGACGTTTTTCAAAAAAGAGTCGGCCATTGTGTGCCCGCGTCACGGTCCAAAGTTGCCAATCTTTTTTGAACGACACATAAATGACTCAATTTGGGAAACTCATCGGAAGCTTGCCCCCTGCTCTGAAACTAACGCGAAGGCTTCCGTGACCAGGATCACGATCCGTGATTGATTTCTGGGTCAGATCGCGTTGGTCAAATGTGCGCCGTAAAGCCTCATCCACCCAACACGGCCAATTGCGTTGTCATCGCTGCTTCAGTACCACCGCTGTTGTTGCTGAGAAGCAATCCGCGCACATTTAACAATTGGGCCTACGATGTTTTGCTGTTATTAAGAACTGGCGTTTTCCATACCTGTGAAAATGTCATTTAGTCTTCTTCCCTCCTGGGAAACTGAACCCTTTCCCGTTTTGATAAAATGACGTTATCGGTATCAAGGCTCCCGCAAGGCCATGCGGCAGGGCGTGGCACAGTTTGGTGCCAGCTATCGTAGAGTGCGGTCGTGTCGCTACAGTTCTCTGCGGTGAGTAACAATGCCTTTAATAACAATGGCGCTACGCCTCTCTAAAATGAACGCTGACCGCTTGTGCATTCCGCGAGATTCAGTGGTGAACGGGACCCCCTCCCCCCCCCTGCAACTTGCAGACATCTCGCAACGGGTTAACAGGACCCCTGAAAAGGAGTCTTGAGGCTCAATAAGATGTTTCGTGGTACATTTTTTTCTAATACACACATATTGCACCTAAGAGCTTTCCTTTGTGTTTAAATCCCACGAAATACAGCGATATGAAATATGAATGATGGAAGCACAAGTTTGTTTGAAAATGTCTTCACGATAAAAGTTATTTTGGATGAGATCGCGTAAATATAGATCGTGTCGTTAACCCACCACGTAAACAAAGCGTGGCAGTGAGTTACTACCTCAGCACACCGGTGTGTTGGAGAGTAAACCCACGACATTTACAATTCCAGTACTGGCATTTTGCTATTAATTACAGCAACCAGCCTCATCGGGCGAATTTTACCAGAACTGTGATCTAACCCCAAATGAACTTTTATCATGAATAACACTTTTCGCGAAAGCCTACGTGTTCAATATATAACGCATGTCATCCGTTGTTTAGGAGACCTCATACCATGGCATAAGCAAGTCTTCATGTCGAACCAGTTTTTCAGCGGGGTCTCCATCCCTGATCCCATCAAATTGGTGAGGCCCTCTTTTGTGGTTATTTGTGGATGGCGCGATTACTTAACTGTTGCGTGTGATTTAAGGAGCTGAATTGTTCATCACGGTGGACATGAGGTCGTGCCGATGCAGGTGCTGCATGCCACGTGGCTCTCCGATGCGCGTGTTGGACGTTGCCGCACGTTGTCTGGCGCGACGTCCGTCGTTCCGCGCACACGCAATCGGTCCGACATTAACAGTGCCATCACGACTCTTATTTCATGCAGAGCTCGACAAATGTTCAAGTTGATGGAAATTATAACATGCATTTAACCCTTTCAATTGAACTTTAGTCCACCCTTGAAGGCGAATGACGACTGGCGGAGAGAATGGCATGTGTACTCCGTCCGTGACTTGTGCCTGGCCGGTTCATGCTCGTGTCTGACTGGTGGTGGTGTAGACTGTGAGCTGTGGCAGGCTATGTGTTTGCATGTATGTATAAATGTTGAACTTATTTCACACCATACGTAGCCAACCGTGCTAATCGGAGGTGCGGGGGAAGGACAACAAACTAAACATGGGTAGCAATCGCCCGAAGCCATTTGCTGTGATGCGATCGACTGCAATTTTCTCTGCTGCTGTTCCATTAAAATAGATATGAGGTTTTTGGCCTGCAGGTTATCTGCGCTGTTGAAGTTAGACTTTCATAACCATTGCTCATGGGGACGTTTATTTTAAGCATTCTTTTAAACATTCCATTTCGGAGTGGTGGTGGCGCACGCCTAGAATCAAACTGGTGGCGAGGCTTGGTGGATCGCGAAAATGTTGCCAAACTCCCTTCCCGTGGCCGTCAGGGAGGTGCTGTACCCTGGTCCGCGAGGTACAGCAAAACTGTGGACGGGATAGAGCGTTTCTCCCTCGCATGCCTGGGTTTTCTTCAGGGGCTCCTCCCACATGTGAACTCATTAATTGGCCAATAACACCTTCATATGCAGAGGAACGCAGAGCTTGGGCACTTGTTGGTGCCGGCCATAGGCAGAGTTTGACGGCTATATTTAGGGGGGTGTGGAGGGGTTCGCTTTGTCCCTCACATTAGGAATCGTGAGTGAATATAATTGATGTATTATCTTAATTGTCAACTACTGAAAATACTTTAATAAATGTGTCCAGTTTGGGGTGGACGTTGCGCCCCCCCCCCACCCCGTGCCCCCCACGCGTAAACTGCGCCAAAGGTGCCGGATCACCGCGTGGCCGCTGCTGCCTCCCCGCTCGTCCGTGGTTTCTCCTCGCGCCTCCGAGTCGTCGTTCTCTCTCTACGAGAGCGACCGAGCGAGCGGACGCTCTGCGGGAAGCGAAGCGCTCCAAGTCGAACTTGATCATTGTTTAATAATAAGTCCACGGATACCAGGACATGGCACGAATGTAACTGGACGCCCGCACAGCTATTTTAAGTGTGCAAAGTGACTATTTGGAGCTGCGAGAGAGCACTGGGCTATGCTGTGACATTGTTACGAACGCCGCAGGTTGATTCACACTTAATTGCACACCGGGTGTTCTTGTTCTTACCGTTGCAGGAGCCTCTCGAGGAGAGATTCCCACGGATTTCTGCACCCAGCCTTAGCCTCATGAAGGTCAGCCAGCACGGGTTGTTTTCCATAATTAATTACACCCTCCAAAGGTCAAGGGGTTCAAGAGTAAGCGGCACATTGTGTGTGTTATCAGGAGACGGCAAAAGGGACCATGAACATAGTTGCAGTATGTGGTGCCTGTAATGTGGTGTGCTCCATTGAAAGGAATCAGTTTTAAGGTAGCGAACTGGAACATTTATTGCCGTTCTACATTTACCATTACAGTAAGTCCTCATCACGATTTTTTATATTTGGGAACACTTTTAGCACAATGTTTGGGCTGGGCGTTGCCTCGAGGCCCCCCACAGGGCCCCCTCTTATACTCCCAGCGTGGCCCCGCCTGGGCCACGCCCCCCTTCTAGAAGCTACGAGCGGGTTCCCGTGGCCCCCCGATGGGCCCCTCTGTGACCTATCCCCTCGATGTCCCTCTCGCGTCTATCGTGGCCTGCTGACGTGAGTACTGCCGTACACCGCAGTTACCATTTTCCGTCAGCAGCCAGCGCTATGCCACTACAAAAGTATGAAAACTAATAATAGGTTGTTGCCTTTCTGGCAATAAAACAGGAGCGAAGATGTTCAAACACCAAATATAAACCTTTTATAAGGCATCAAGTCTGCATTAACCAGACGTACTTGCTCTGATAATATACTATATGCATTGTGTTGAAACTGATTGGTCGACACCACAGACATCTTTCTTTAGAGCCTAGTCTCAAACAGTGTTAGACCAGAGAAACCAATCAGTTTCAAAGACAATGCATCATCATATACTACCAGACCATGTTTTTTGTTAGCATGCTCACCACAAGCATATGTGGTTAATGCAGACATGATTCCTTGCAAAAGGTTTCAGTTTGGTGTTTTAACATCTTATATTCTTAGGTTTTCGGTAAAGTCACGTAGGTAAAAAAATTAAATTAATAAAAGTAAAACAAAAATAAAATAAAAAATCATGACGTTTCGGAAGCTTGTGTTGTCTCCGAAACGTCATGATTTTTTATTTTATTTTTATTTACTTTTATTAATTTGAATTTTTTACCTACGTGACTTTACCGAAAACCTAAGAATATGAATCCTTGCAGTCACGAAAGCTTCAAATCTAGAATTTTAACATCTTAACACAGCTGTTTTGTTGTCAGAAAGGGTAAAAAAAACCCCATTCGTATAAGCAAACGCTGCAACACGTAACTTTTTTTGCTATCTACATTTGCATCTAAGCAACATTTCTCGACCTTGTAACAGAGCTGCCTGAAAATGGACCCCGCGGGACGGCTGACGACCGCGGGTCTGCTGGAGCAGCCGTACTTCGACGGCTTCCGTGAGGACACGGACAGGGCCAGGGACGAGGCGGAGCGAGCGAACCACAAGGGAGACCGGGCCACGCGCCGGGGGCCCGCGGTGAGCGCAATTTGCAATTTTGAACATTCGTTCAAGTTCATTTGTTAGGTATAGCCCTGTGAGCCATTCGGCTCTTGAATCGGGTGCACACACGTATATACACACTGGAGGAAGAATCCGATGAGCTATGAAGCTTTTTTAGTAACAGATGTTCAGTAGGGGGCGGGATAGAAGGTTGCAAGAACAAACGGTACAAAAAAAAGCCACGATCGGAGCGACTGCCGCCATGCTGTGTGGCGCCATGCGCTACCGCGCCATCTCGATGGTACTACACGTCGCAAACGTGACGCGTTTTAAGAGGTTGACGTCAAAATATGTTCGTCGATGTCGCGATTGAATATTAAGATGCTCCAGCGAGTGTTATTTGAATTGTGAAACGCCAAAATACAAGCGATTTTTTAAAAATTACAACGTACGTGTTTGTGTGACCGCTACCTATCCCATAATTGCAATTAATCACGAATGACTACCTACATTTCCCCATGAGTATCTGCCACCATGACACCCCTCCACTCACATCCCCCCCACCCCCCACCCATTGCCAATGTCGTGCCAGAGCAATGAGCAATAATGGTGTTATCAAAACGATGTTTTCATTCAAGCAAGTACGAAAGCTTGCCTCTCCTCCGAGGGCCAACATCCATGAGCCCGAATCTCACGACAGACCAGGAATCATCTTCACACCCTGGCCTCTACCCCACCTAAATGCCCAGTTTGTGCTTATCCACCAAGCCATGAATTCGGTCCAGCGTCTTTAACATGGCACTTACAATCAGAATTCACGCCACGTCAGAAAAAGCACCTTAAAAAAATGTACATTTTTAAATCATTGATCCTTCAAACAACATTTTATTATCTTACAGGAAAAGGTGTCCTCAATACACGCTTTTTTAACATTGACAAAGAAATGTTTTTCTGCATGATTTTTGTAAATTTGCATTTCAGATACAGCCTCTACCGCAGCTGATGGGAAACAATCCTGTCTTACCCGTGCCAGAAAGCCGCAAATATTTCCGTTCCAAGTACAACCACCTTCCCAACATCGGCGCGCCCTACAGAGATGGCCATTTCGGTGGGCTGCGTTAACTTTAAAAGTTCTAAATAAAGATTTGCCAAGAGAGGAAACCTCCCCATAAACAAACGGAGCCATGGTCATTCGAAGAGATTTATATCCGCATTATATTTCCCCATTATTTGGATTACCAATGACCAGAAAAACATTACAAGACTGGTGAGCGTCCATTCAAAGTATGAATTTGCATTTTTATAATTGTGCTCTTGTATTGCCGAGATGACGTATGTACTCTAATATTGTATAGATGTGCTCCTGATTGAAATCAGACTTTATCTAACCAAATTAATTTAGCATCTGCAGTGTGATCTATGATTGAGTCTAATCAATGGTGACGATAATCACACACACGGTGCAGCTGACCTTCTCGAAGGTTCAAAGGTTGAATATTTTGACGTTAAATTCGGTGCCACAACATTGCGAATTTTGGTTTGTTGCCAGCTCAGAGCCATAAGCAATAGAAACGATTCTTCGCGATGTGATCCATTTATTCATCGAGTGACGGCCGGGGATGAATATGAACCACCCACAACACCGCCTCTGTCTCAAAAAGACTGAAGCGTTATAACGGAGACATTCTGCTTTATAACGGAGGCATTCTGCTTTATAATGGAGGCATTCTGCTTTATAACGGAGGCATTCTGCTTTATAACGGAGGCATTCCGCTTTATAACGGAGGCATTCTGCTTTATAACGGAGGCATTCTGCGCTATAACGGAGGCATTATGCTATAAACGGAGGCATTCTGCTTTATAACGGAGGCATTCTGCTTTATAACGGAGGCGTTCTGTTTTATAAGAGAGGCGTTCTGCTTTATAACGGAGGCATTCTGCTTTATAATGGAGGCATTCTGCTTTACAACGGAGGCATTCCGCTTTATAACGGAGGCATTCTGCGTTATAACGGAGGCATTCTGCGTTATAACGGAGGCATTCTGCTATATAACGGAGGCATTCTGCTTTATAACGGAGGCATTCTGCTTTATAACGGAGGCATTCTGCTATATAACGGAGGCATTCTGCGTTATAACGGAGGCATTCTGCTATATAACGGAGGCATTCTGCTTTATAACGGAGGCATTCTGCTTTATAACGGAGGCATTCTGCTTTATAACGGAGGCATTCTGCTTTATAACGGAGGCATTCCGCATTGCGCTAAAACTGTTCCCATTTGGGTTGATATCTCGGAAGTGGCCGTGTTGCTATTGTATATTATCGATTTTTGATTCACGTGGTTTTACTGCAACCGTTTACTATGTACGCCCATGTAATTAAACATATACTCTATGAATACATTCTGTGTATGTGTTCTCAACAATTTGGTGCTGCTGCGTTCTAACAAAAAACTCAACATGTTGGTCAATAACACTTTGGCCTCAAAAGGAATATATATAAACATCCTTTAAAGTAAAACTCGTGTAATTGTTCACAACTGCTCAGGTCGGCTTCAGACCAGAGTTGGTTTGAAAAGTCTTAAGTTACGCGAGAGCTATGATCAACATCACTCATTGGCATGAGTTTGATACACACACATCCGAAGGATTTTCCATCGATTTAAAAAAAATAGTATTCAAAGCAAAGCTAGGTGTGACATCATTATTTAACGAGGCTACACGTGGTTGCAAAATAGCAAACGAATATTGAACTTCAATCAACTTTACCATGGCGTTCCAAATGCCAGCCTACGGAGACTTGCCGATACTACTACCAAGACCTCAACAAGACTCAGCCCGGACCGTCTAGAAGACTCGCGGACAGCAATGTGGAGGCGGTTATCTCAGAGGCTGCACCAACTGTTCACTTGAAGATGTTGACAATGTCCGTGTGGAACTTCTTTCGCACCGTGCGTAGCCAACCGTGCTAATCGGAGGTGCCGGGGGAAGGACAACAAACTAGACACAAGAATGTCCCGTGAGGTGCCGTCCATAAATGACGTCACGCACCTAGGGGGGGGGGGGGTCAGACATTTGTGAAGTGACGTCACGTAAAAATGCGCAACTTGAAATAAACATAGACAACACGTTCTACTTACTTAAATAAACTTTTTATAAATGTTTTCCCTACATCAGAGTGCAGCGCCACATTAAATACGCACTACAATGACAATAGTTTAAAGCGATTTGAAGCATGTTTTATTTGGGGGAGGGGGGCAGGGCTTTGTGACGTCATATTTGAGGGGGGGTCTGACTTTTTGTGACGCCGTGTGACGAGGGGGGGGGGGTCAAAAAATCGTACAAAATCGCGTGACGTCATTTATGGACGGCCCCTGATGTAGCTGCTCACCCCAAGCTCTAAATTCTGCCACGTGGCATTGCCCTCGTGCTCTTCGCCTTGTGGAGTTCTCTGCTGACACTGGTACAGAGACGAAGCCATATCGAAGGCTGTCTCTGGTGTGGACCAATCAGTTTCAAAGACAATGCAAATATTACACTGGTCAACAAAAAAAAACAGTTTTCTGGCCTGGACTTTTGCAGCTGTTATAGACTAATTTCAGGGTGCTGATTCCAAATCTGATCTCAGATTTGCTCATCACATCTAAATTTTATGCTATCGGCATACCCCAGTTTCATTGATTTTACCCGAAATTAACTCTGTCACTTATGATTGCAAGTTGTTGCGAGTCAGTGACTGCTTTAGTGTTAAAATATGGTGCTGTATTTTTAGGATAGTGTGTTTATATCATTTTATGTAGATATCCACATTCATTTAATATTTTTCATCTGCAGTTTTTATTGAAAATGCAATATTTGAGATCTCAAAAACCTGATGTGATAGACAAAAACTGATGCCAGATTTGGAATCAGCACCCCAAAATTACTTTAAAACCGTTGGAATACCTTATGCGAGAAAGTGTGTTGACCAGTGTTATCAGAGCATGTATTGTTTTCATGCTCACCACAAGTAGTTGTGGTTAGCGCAGACTTAATTCCTTGCAAAAGGCGTTTGAACATCTTAACACCTGTTTTATTGCCAGAAAGGGGTAAGACCTATTCTTATTAAATCCTTTATATTAAGTTCGTGTGCTTGCTTGCTTGCTTAGGACCGTGAAAATCTTTCGGTCGTTTTTTAACCCACTTCCCGTGATCCAATCGAGCTGACATTTTCCACACAGACTCGTTGTGCCAGACAATTAATGTTCGTGAAAAAAAAAATCCCCAAATTTTACACTTTTTAGGCAAATTTTTTTTATTTTACATATATTCAAATAGAACTCATTCTTGGCTTTGGCTGAACGTCACAGTATAGGAGCCCAGAGCGTAACCCCTCCACAGGCCGTGGCGGAGTAGCGCAGTTGGTTGCGCCCTCGCTTCCCATGCCAAAGGTCGCGGGATCGATCCCCGCGTCCTCCACAGGTGAATATATTTTTAAATCCTTTATATTAAGTTCGCTGCCACGCATATAAAGGATTTATAGTGAAAAACTTTGTTTTTACGGGTTATATTTATTTTTCATTCTAAGAAGCAGTTCTAAAGGAACGTGTTGTACACCAAGTGCAAGTGACACTAACATTGGGGACACTTCAGCACAAATGTCTATCATTAAATGTACACGCATCGACATATTTTACATCAATTGGTGACTGGCGGCATGGTAGGGGGAAGTGAAAATTTCACTTTGGCCAGAGGCGATTGCAATTTCGCATCAATAATAATTATTGAAAGGGATTCAAAGATCCTGGTTAAACGAGGACTATCGTGAAAATAATCGTAAACCTTAAATTATGCACGGAGAACGATGAAATGTATCATGTCCTGTTCTGTGAAGGTCACCACACCATCGTTCAACTCTCCAACTTCAAGGTTTAGTCTCCACAAAAAAATCCAAAGCAGCAAAAATGTTTATTATGTCATCATACCAACAAACATGTTGTTTTTAGTTGCGAGCTCGGACTAAAATGTCACCGTTACCAACTTGCGGGGGTCCAAGTAGAACCACACGGTGCAGTCGTAACCCATAGCTGTATAACAAAGGCCAAAGGCACGGAGCTCTCAACGAAATGACAGGTGTTAATACCGTGCCAGAAGCCCGCATTTAAGTACGAACACTGTCGCACCATAACAAAGACGACATGTAAATGCGCTACGGATAGTTTCACAAAGTATATTACACAACTCGGTGTAAGAAGCCACTGCTGTGGCGCCATTTGCAGAATAAAATAAATGCAGAAAATGAGCTGTAAATTTTAAACGCCGGCTTTCCAGGCTAATCAATTTCAGATGTTTAGCTCGGATCGCCGCATAAGTAGAATGCGTGTCGTACGCCCTCCTCCACCCGACACGGCCAATATATAAAGTTGCCACACGTGAACAAATATGCCAATTTAATGAATTGATCAAACCCAAAAATCTGACAAACGAGCTGTAATTTAATATTTAAAATAAATTGCACATGCACATTGTGTGTGTAAAGTGAAAAAAAAAACTATTCCAAAACACCTCTCAAAGAATAAAAGACAAAGCAAACTTTTCACACTGGTGTCGAATAGAGCTGGGAGTCTCAGAAACACCTTTGCCTGCGATGCGGTTTATATACGAATCCTCACGGATACGATCTCGAATTGGATCGTGGGCTTAGCCGAATCATGAATTCCTTCAAACGGGCAACTCCAGGAATTGGCCACGGGGGAGATCCTTGGAATCCAATGCCATTCCGGTAGGAATATTTCCGAGCTCCAGCGGCAACACATTGTTCTAAAATAATTGCGAAAGTGTTTTCACGTTAAACTGTACACCACTTTCTGAAATTATTCCGTGTCAAATTTAAGTAGCAAAAATAGTTTTGTAGACTTATATAAATCCAGACAAACTATTAGACAACTGAGTAATATCATCCATTCGTAATGCGTTCCTGTCGGTACATCGTTCATCACGATAGTAAAGTAGAATCTAAGACGTTTATAATCCGCCTTTTACAGTCTCAATGAAAAATGTCGATTGTGAAAATTTTGAAATACTATATTTTCAAGGGTAGACCCTTCTACATAAAGGTTAACAATATTCCACATTCTCTCCAGAACAGTTCCAAATATTAAGTCAAACTCCCACCTTGAAGAAAGGGCCAAAAACAATTTTTTTTTATGATTTGTCCATTTGTAACGATGGAGTCATGGGAAAATGCTTGTTGCAAAAAATATTATAAAATTATCATTTGTTAAAATGAGAATCAGACCCACTGAGTGATCAGTTTTAATGAACGTGGCCAATAAAATATGTATCACATTCCAGCCAAGCACTGTGCCATTGATTTCCACACAATCTTCTCATTGTTGATTTTCTGCCCTCTGCCACCACGGTCTTTCATCTTGCTGGTCAAAACTTTGAGCTTGGAACCTCTGCTGGTGAAACGGTATTGGTGGCTGCATTTGCCAGCATGGCTGATAATTCAAACTCTGGCTGTAATTTTGCTGCACATACCCTCCGTCAGGATGGTGAAAATAGTCCTGTTGATAACCTCCCACTGCTGGCGTTTGAGACCACCAATCCATCTGTGTGTCTTGTGGTGGCATTTGGTGAAATCTGCGACTCGGAGGCCGTGGGTAGACACTTGCTCTTTGGTCAATTCTGTGGTCCAACCTTGTCAGGATCTTCCTCGAGGCCATCTTCTCTTGACCACTATGATACGGGTCACAAACGCTGGAGGAAGAGGCCCGCGCAGGACACGAAGTTGCACTCGAGCGCCTTCGACAATAAAGAAAACGCAAGAGCTTAATAACAGAATCGTCTTTCTTTCTTTCTTTAATCATTAGACTAAGCTCAGTACCACCTCAAGTAATTGTTGTGTCAAGCGGGTACAGAAATGTTTATGTAAAAAAAATATCGATCTGAAATCACGACAGTAAACCATGAATATTGCCGGGGGATATGTTCCTGGAGAACGGCGTGGATATTAATACTTCAAAAGTTCATGAGGAAAATAGGGTTATGGGGCATAAACATGAACGTATAATATCAGTGTTATTTAACTCGCCTTTAATAATGATGAACATAAACCTACCTATAAAAGTGCAAATATCAAACGAGCAAGTGAACATTGCAGAGTACGTGATATTTAAATAAAATGTGTCGGGGGAAAGCACCCGCGTGTAAACGGTGCGGCAGAGACAAGCGGCAGGCCGAGAGGGGGGGGGGCGCCTCGCCACTTTCTCGTCCGTTAGTTAGCGCGCTACGGCCGCGAACGTTTAAAGGTACAACCCCCAGACGATTAAAAAGAAAACTATCACGATAAAAGTATCGTTGATACGCAAAAAAAAACGCTTAAAAAAACCTGGGGATATTAAGGCTTCACTGTATTGCAAAACACTCGCGGGAAAGGAGGTAAGACCTCATACTCTTTGTTTGTTTTCCAGGAAAATTAACGTAGGTAAAAAAAAATTACTTTATTTGATTTTTTTAGGTAAAAAAATAATAATTATTTGATTAGATTTTTTACCTAAAAAAATCTATTATAATAATTATTTGATTAGATTTTTTACCTAAAAAAGAATAATAATTATTTGATTTTATTTTTTACCTACGTGACTTTACCAAAAAAAAAACCAAAGAGTATGAATCCTTGCAGTCACGAAAGCTTCACATCTAGAGGTAAGACCTCATGTGACAAAGGTGGGTGAGAGACGATCGCTACATGTTCGCATGCAGATGGCCCACGAGGGATAATTTGAGAGCCTGCCGTATTGCAATAAACACATGGAAAGATAAACTCAACTCTTACCTTGAATAATCCCTCGTTTTCAAATCTTTGAGATAATTTTCCCTCTCAATCGAATGACCTCGAGCACTGTTAAAGGCTGACAACCACACGCAACAGTTTTATTACCAAGTACAGCTGTTTGGTAATGATTGTAAAACATATCTATTCAATGCAATGACAATTAAGTTAAATATAACGTCAAACTGTTATATAAACGCGACAAGCAACACCAACACTATGACACAGGAAAAATAAATCACACTCCAATGAAGAGCATTAGCTGTGATCTTTCAATAAATCATTTTTACAGGGATGGCAAAGTTCACATTCCTTTCATTTAGCGCCACTCTGCTGGGGGGGGTCCATGTATCACGTTCAATTACCGACAATTCAATGGTAATACGTGGACAACAGTGGACTTTTGTTTTCACCCAGTGTAATCAAGGGCAACACTGTCAGAGCCAGGGGGGAATTTGTCTACCTGGGATCCGCACAGAACGCCGACGGACAAAGTCGACCCCTGATGTCGCGCGCCGAATTGGCCTGGCCTCCGAAATCATGAACGGTCGGAACGGCATTGGGCCCCAAAAAAGTCTGGGAACCAAACCGAGTGTCTAGATTTGAAGCTTTCGTGACTGCAAGGATTCATATTCTTAGGTTTTTTCGGTAAAGTCACCTAAAGACGGAAGCTTGTGTTGCCTCCGAAACGTCGTGATTTTTATTTTATTTTTATTTTACTTTTATTAATTATAATTTTTTTACCTACGTGACTTTACCGAAAAAAACCTAAGAATATGAAACCGAGTGTCCACCAGTGCTGTGTGTTTTGTCAGTTTCGTTCAACAGTGCAGAGGCCTGGACAATGCTTCAAGCTGATTTGCCACAAAGGGTAAAACCTATTCCTATATTCTGATACGGGCCAGGGAGGTCCCATGATGTAGCTGCTCACCCCGAGCTCTCAATGACAGTGGCATTGTCTTTATGCTGTTTTCCATTTGGCGTCCTCTGGTCTAATATTGTCTGAGACTAGGCTCTAAAGCAGGGGTGGGGAACGTCCGGCCCGCAGGCCGTATGAGGCCCGCAAAATCATTTGGTGTGGCCCTGCCAAGGCAACTGCAAGCGGGACTCGAAATTCAATCAATCTAGGAGCAAACCTGGAAGAGCAGTTGCGAGTAGCAACATCATCAATACCAGCTAACATCACACGCCTCGCCAAAGAGAAGCAGTTCCAGCCATCGCATTAGGGGTGAGTAAATTAAATGTTTGACCAAATATAACAGGCAAATTTTAAAGTTGATAATTTTGCATGGCCCACGAATGATGTTATAGATATCCAAATGGCCCTTGGCAGAAAAAAGGTTCCCCACCCCTGATCTAAAGGAAGCCGTCTCTGGTGTGGACCAATCAGTTTCAAAGACAAGGGATATATTACCAGAGCATGTTGTTTGTTTGCATGTTCACCACAAGTATATGTGGTGAATGCATACATGATTCCTTGCAAAAGGTTTCTGTTTGGTGTTTAAACATCTTAACATTTGTTTTAATGCCAGAAAGGGGTAAAACCTCTTCTTATATTACGAGTTTGATCGGTGGCAGTCCTTTCACACGCAATGCCAGAGATGCCTTCTCGGCGTCTGACGGGTCGACTGTGTCAGAAATGTCACCATTTGATCTACGACCGGTCTTCTAGCGATTAAGCGAGCTCAAATTTTGATTTAAAGCTTTCGTGACTGCAGGGATTCATATTCTTGGTTCTTTCGGTAAAGTCAGGTAGAAGGGAAACAATAAAATAATAAAAATATTGTTTTATATTTTTATTATTTTAAAAATATTGTTTTATATTTTTATTATTTTATTGTTTCCCTTCTAAGTGACTTTACCAAAAGAACCAAAAATATAAGTGAGCTCAGTTCGAGGGATAGATGGCGGTGACTCTGTGGATTCCGTCGCCCCGTGTTGATGCGCAAACTCTAGTAAATTGCTCACTTCAGTTGCCGGTCGACATTCTAAGTGAAGCGTGACCCTTTAAAGAATGTCGCTGCCTCCATGAGACGTGGATCAAACAAATTACTCAAGACACCCGTGCAGGATGGCAGTAAAAGCTGTCTTTTTTGCAGGTGCTGTCGCAAGAGGCGACACGTTTGACGAAACGGTCCTTCGCCAAACCACGCGTGATGATCGACTGTGATTATTCGTGGACTTAAAAACATTAAACATCTTTGTTTATGTGGACCGACGCACCTTGTATCGCTTCGTCTGGGTCCATTTGTTCACAATCGATAAGATACCTGTCAACACACAGAACGTACAGTTGCGGTACTAAACATATCCCTCGATACTCTCCGCATCATGCTTAGGCATTCATGATTAACTTTAATAATCCAGTTCCAATTAACAGTGGAGAGGACTTTTCCCCCAGTAACATGTTATGGCTCCTTCAATCAGAGTTCTATTTAATGGGGTCACCTTTATACCTCTAAAGACCAATTATCCAAACAATAATTATACGAATGAAATCTAACCAAGGGGCTTGAGTAAAGCATTCCGGCTCATAAATACATCACTGCTATCATCAATCGCCATATAATTGAAAAATACATTTTAGACCGTTGATGAAAAGGTCTTCCAGGTTGATGTTAAAAAAACATTTGCATAAACGTGACAAAACTCAGGACCAGTGTCCTTTATAATGACTTACAAATACATGTGAGAAGAGATTTACAGAAAATGTGCAATTGAACTTACCGACACACCAGGTACCCAGTCCGGTTCACGCCATGAGTACAATGCACGCCGATCAGCTTGTCTGAAACATACAATGCCACCTGTCAGAAATCTGCCTAACGAGAAGCTCACAATCACATGGAGAGAACGATCGTTCAGAGTCTCGCACTGCCGCAATGCATTAAACTCTTAATGAAGCTAACTAACACGCATTTAAACCCCCTGGTTCCTTGCGTCTCTCTATTGATTTCATTGAAATAGAAGTATTGATCAGTTTTTTTACCAATCTCTCTCTCACATGATGTACATCTCACCATTGCCCCTTTGCCATCTGCATTTCCTACACGTGGAACAGGCCTCTCTTAGCAGCCGTCCTCGGTGACCGTAACAAAACCACCTGTAATCATACTACCGTTGATTTCCTGAGCGAAGTCTGTCATTACACTTTCAGATTTGGAAAAAACAATATGCCGACGAACTAGCAGTACGATGATGACGATGACGCACACACAATGGTCTTACTGCGCTCGTGACTGTGGTGGAAAAAAACTGTCCAAAAGCTGCAGCCATTGATGTTTTTGTTCGTCTGTAGCAGCCGTCCCCAACCTTTGTGGCCCCAGGGACCGGCTTCGTGGAAGACAATTTTTTCACGGACCGGGGACGGGGGGGGGGTTCATCATTGGGTCTTTCCCCCTTTTCAAAGTAGCTCTCCAGCGACGTTTGTTTTTTACTCATGTTGGCTACTAGGGGTTAGCAGCTTGTGGGCTTACCGACACTGTGACTGTGACAAGTGCACAGTGCGGGAAAGAGGCGCGGATGGAAGTGGTAAATAATAAAACAATGGGGGCGGCCACGCGCGGACTCACCGCTCTCACCTCCTGCTGCTGTGCGGCCCGGTTCCTAACAGGCCACGGGCCGGTACCGGTCCGCAGCCCTGGGGCCCCTGGTCTATAGTATTATTTGTTCGTCAATAGTATTATTTGTTAGTCTATAGTATTATTTGTTAGCCTATAGTATTATTTCAAGGAAGCAGAAACTCAATCTCCTTCTCCGATCTCGAAATTTCATGGTGCAATTCCACCTTGTCTTTTCCATTTCTATCCCCACCTGCCAAAGTCACTCCCCCCTCTCTCCATCATTCCTGGCCATCCCCCACCTCCCCTCTCCATTAATCAACTCATTCTTTGTTGCCTTACTCCCATCTCTCACCCCCTTCTCCTTCTCGTCTCCCACTTGCCTGCGTTTCATTCCCTTCCCAATTGCCCACCTTCTCTCTTCAAACTATTTATCCCATCCCCTTGCAACTGTCAATTGCTCGCATCAACCACCTCTCTCTCTCTCTCCTCCATCCATTTAATATCCCATCCGTCCACCTCCCACGACTCTCGCGCACGTTTCACGTTTCCAACGAATACGAATGACGTTGAGTCTTCTTAACCAAGGGTGAACATTTGATGCAAAATGTTGAAACCTCCTGACAATGAAAACGTATTGCAAGCAAGCGTTCGTCACCCACCGTTTCCGGCGTTTTCTCCAATGAAGGTCTTGATGGTTTCTTTAAAATGGGCGATGGTTTTGTCATTCGGCACCTCATGGCCCATCGTGAATATTTTCTCATACTTGATGCCCGCTTTTGTCAGTTCCTAAACAACAAAAGACAAATGTCTAAGCTCAGTATTTCAGTGATCACAAAGTGCATTTACATAATGTAATATTTTACAATTTAACAAGTTAGAAAAAAAAATAACTAGCACATACACTAGCTGGTCGACACACAACATGAGTCCTGCTGAAATATAACTTACATTTCAAACAACTCTACAACGTGTTACATTGAGATTGTCATGAGCTTTGGAATTAGATTTTTATTTTTAAAAAACTATTGAGAGTAACCAAAGGTCCTTTGAAACAAAGCCACAAAAAATATCTAAAGGACCTCCTAGCACCACAAATTCCCAGCCACAACCTCAGAAGTGTCTCCTCCAAGTTTTTACAAAAATTATCGCTCAGAATTCACAGCTAAGCTGCTGCACTTGGAGCCAACGCGATCGTTGTTTTCACATCCCCGTTGATGGTTGTTTTATTCTCTCGATCATGTTTGCTTCATCACCACGTGCTCAACTGCTCTCCATTACCTCGATCTTATTACACACTTTTATTTAACTCACTGTCTGTTGTTGTTGTTGTCGTTGTATCCTCAAATTTTGTAACTCAATTTTTACCCACTTCCCAATGTGGAATCGACTGCAAACTTGGTATACTTATGTCATACTGATGACAATACTATATTATATATATTAAAAATAAACAAAAACATATTTTACAACACTATCTTTAACATGTTATGTTTCGGCTTGGGTCTAATTGTCCACGGTAAACTGAAGTTGGCTGTAATTGGCCACGGTCCCTTACGTTATGGCAAGTATCGGGGCCACTTCCTGGAGTCGTGGAGTTCTTCCATTACTAGTACGGTACATTTAATTAAAGCGTGCTTAAAAAAATATTTATTTAAATATTACTTATTTTCGGTACAACATGCCTCTATTTTGTAAATACACTATTCTCTCATTATTCACGAACTTACTATCCAAGATTCAGTCCGTTTGCGAATCGCATCTAGAACTCTACACGACTGCATTGAGAGAATGTGATGCAAAAAAATGATGAAATGATGATAAATTGATGAGATAAAGAGATGAGAGAGATAAAGAGGGAACTTCTCATAGCTTAAGAAGCATTTGCAGATGTTGTGCGTACGATATTCGTAGGCCAATATCATTATCCAAATTCGTTTTTTAAGCACTATTTTTGCCTATAACTCCAATGCGTTCTGTTCTGTTTGCTGCCTGTTCCTCCCTACGTATCATGTTCATCTTGTTGTACTCGTTCTGTGCTGATGCACCACAGACCTCCCTTGCAAATGAGCTGGGAAACGGCTAAATGGGACGTCTATGTAATAAATAAACATTGAATGAAACATTACGCAAGGCTGTTTTTACACTTTCAATAATGCATTGTGATAGCAGAACCACACACTGTAATTCAGTGGGAGACCATACGACTGGAACAACTTTCAGCCTATTTCATATGCCTAGAACGTCATTACAAGCTCCAAACATTTATTGGATGGAGCGCTTCAAAGCGGTGTGGTGAATTAGATCATTCTGGGTTCATGTTCCTGTGTAATTCATCCTTTGTAATTTTCACAATTGCACTTCTCAAAGAAACAAGCACATTCTGTGCTTCAGCAAGGCCACACTACTTACGTTTGGATCATAGTAGCGTGTGGTGTTTGTCAGGTCAATAACCAAGCCTAGGCTTTCTTTTTGCCTTGATATGTTCTCCAGGAGTCCCGATGGGCTCATCTGAGTCACCTCTGCTTCAAGATGATCCAAGATGGCCTGACATAACACAGAAAAGTTACACACCAATTAAACAATGGTATTACGCACACGACTATGCTACACCGTTTCAGCACTGTGCCTAATATCGGTGGGCAACGTGGTCACTCAGATCCCTCTCTTTCACGACACAGAGGATAGGTATAAGACATGACAAGGAATACATTTATGGGTGGAAAAAATGGTCTGTTTTATAGGGTGTTCTGCCTGATTCATGCAGCCCCTGTTTAATGGGCAGTTTGGCTTAAGAACTGTCCCCATTCACCAAGCAGCAATTTCTGTATGGCCAATTCCGTACACAAAAATTCACGCATTCTGCCGCTACTCAGATGGTGGTGGCGCACATCATTAAAATATATATTCGTAGTTCCTGTTGTGGATTCCCCAAAAGCTGTTGGTATATTCCTGGAAGCTGTCATACAGGAAATAATTTTAAATGTGTAGCATTGCTTATAGAATGTGTGGGTCTGCAACAGGAAACTTGCATCATCGTATGACTTATCGATGACCTGACACTGCACGTAAGATAGTTGTATACAAGTGGATTTTTTTTATCATAACTCGAATTATCGACCAATTTTACCTTTCTGAAATGCAACCCCCACCCCCCCCAACAAATGTATTGTAAATTAATGGTTAAGTTTGAATGTCAGCATCATTTACAAACTCGAACAAATGCCCATGTGTAGCGTGTGTCATCTTAGCTGGGCGGTGATGGCCAAGCACGCCCGTTATCCATAACCGTGAAAAGCAAGGATTGGTGGATCACGCAAATGTTGCAAAGCTCTCTTCCCATGGGCATGAAGGCTTGCCAGGAGAAGGCAGGAAAGCAAAGTGAGGACTAATATTATCTGTCCATCCTGCACGGGAGAGCATTACCCCCCCCCCTTTCAAATGTGGGTTTTCTCCGAGTGCTCCGGTTCCTTGCTACACGTGAAAGGGAGTCTACAGGAGTCATCCTGGAAAGGGAACTTCATGGTTCTGTCAGCATCAGCACAAACACTTGGAGGGCAGTAGGTGACTTTCAGCCTCTCTTCCCCCAAAGCACCCAAGCCTTCACCCTACAGAACGTTAACTACTCTCTCGTCCTCTTTCGTGCCAATATATATCTTTTAGGTTTTTTCCACAATCATCTATCTACGTTTGTGCATCTTTCTTCCAGGCACCTTCCTTTCATTATTTCCCATGGGTGTGATTCCCGTGTCCCCTGCATGACCCCTACATGTAACCTTAACGTGCTGTCTTCCCACTTATTCGTGGTCCCTCTGGGATGGTGAGAAGCGATTTGTATGAACGGCACCATATAATCTTACATTACTCGTAGCACAACTGCAGCGCTTGATCGGCGTTAGGGTGGAGCCAATGATGGTGGAAGGTTTCATTGAACAATTATACTTTTGGGGTGTGGGTTGTGTGGAGGAGCCCGGAGTGCATGGTGCTCCACTCTACACCAATTCATGAGCGTATTCGGTCCTTCCATCATGCAGCATTTTATCTATTCCAAATTTTTTATGTTTAACACATCGGCTTTCGTGACCAATATCATCCATAATATAGGGTTTGGGTTAGTTTGCATAACATGGTCGTTAAACCCTGGATGTGGCCTGATGAAGCCAGCTGTAATTGCTGACAAAATGTCGTACTCGGATTGTAAATATTGTGGATTTGCTCTCCAACACACCGGTGTGCTGTACAAGTAACGAATTGGTACGTTGTTTACATAACAAACCTTACTAATTGGGTGTCGGGTAGTGGCGGGTTTAATGACACATTTATATTTATGCAATGACAACCCAAAAAAAACCTATATGACAGAATTTTAATGCTATAATTGTGAAAAAACGTGAAAACTGTATATTAATTGGGTCTTTTGTTTATCAACACGGGGTAAATGATCCAATACATTACAACTGTTCTTGAAGATGTTCACTAAATATACTTAAGAGCTTTTCGACATGTTTTTACATTCTCTCAAAATATAAGTTCTGCCCAAGCTGTGAAGAACCATCTTGTTAAATTGGCGAGATTATTTTCAGCAATTGTCCACCAAACCCAGGGTACTGAACTGGAACTAATAAATTAGGAGTAAAGAGGTGGGGAGGGGGTGATGGTGTTATTATACTGGCCCAGTTCTGTAATTGCTTGCAGTCGGGGGTTGCACTGATAACTTAGTTTTTTTGGATGCAGGTCTGTGGAAAATTTGCTTGCTAAATCGTGGGACACAAAATCAAGATACAATGACAAACGTGGAAATGCAATCATCATGATTCAAAACGTCCAGCACTTGCCTGTCTCAGAGGCACTTTAAATGAGATGAAGCGAGTTCCTTTCACCCTTTTTCCTACAGGAACATAATTCTCCCACCTGATGGGACAAAATTGGCCAACATTAGTACTTTTGTAAAACAAACAAATGTAACATGAAAACAAACACTATAAAATTAACTTTTTTTTACATCTAAGACCCACAAAAACACACGGAAGAAGAAAGGCATGATGTGCCTCCAAAACCACAAGTCACAGACGAAAAACCTTTGCCGCCTTTGACTGTTGTAATTAGTGTGGCATCGCGAACAAATACAGTGCGTGTAACATCACATATACCGTATTCTTCTGATTATAAGACAAACTTTTTATAATGTCATTTTAATTAAAAGTTGGGAGTGCGTCTTATAATGTGGTACGTAGTCTTAACCGCCGTCACTTGTGTGACCAGATTTGTAAAACTTAATTGGCAACGGGTATCGTTCAATCAATGCCGAATTCCTAGGATTATAAGACGTTGTTTTTGGAACATTCCCTCTACATTCTATTACGTTACGTTTGCCACCCTTCTTCTCCAGGACATTATTGGATAAATCGCACGTGTATTTTTTTTTATCATGGGCATACGCCAGTGAAAAATAGCTAAACCTTGTGTGCAAGCAACAGCTGCAGTAAAGGTAATTCAACTACAAAAAAGCCTTATATGTAATGGCACTTGTGATAGAATTTGCCATTTGATCATATATCAAGTAAAACTGAGTCTTACGATAATTCAAGAAGCTACAAAATTGGATGTTTTCAACACACTCATTGCGTCATGTCCAACCTACCACGCAAACGAACAGCGCTCAGCTCTAAGTATATAACAATAAGGCAAACAGCACCATTAATTTTAAATGACGTTAAAGGACAGAAAACATAAACACACCATACACCCAACTGCCCGTGCCACCGATCGGCCGCTCTCATGCATTGACCAAGTCTGTGGGGGAGGGTCTCACCGATCTGGGACGGTGTTCTTCCTGCCCATGGCGTGGCTTCTACTCAATCTGCGGTGCAAGGCGATCCCACCACGGATCATTTGCTCGGGTCTGTGGGTGAGACAACAGCACAGTACTGTGTTATTATGTATACAGACAACTGTTTAGAGTATTTGGCTGCTATACGTTTCTACATGATAAGCCACTGAGCTATCATTTGTGGCCAGGACACATCTGAAAGAGCTTAATAGCTCAGTGGTCCGTGCCTGATACAATAAAACAAGTTTAATAGTTATCATGGCGACCAGAGGTTGCGTCATGATTAAGGCTACGATTTAGGCATGTTCGGGGGCATTTGCTATCCTCTTACATGCTTCTTCTTTCATACGGCTGATGTAGCTGCAGAGCAACAGCTACAGTTTCACATTCAGGTGGTCAAACCAGATATCCACGTGAGGAGCAGTGGAGTGTTATCGCTGTAATGTCTCCTTCATATTTGTGGATCAGGCATTACATCGTCTCTTCCAAGCTGACCAAGCGTCTCGGAGGTGGGAGTTTCTCACACTTTACCCCACCACATGCAACCTGCCGATCGACCGCGGTATAACCCATTTATACTGCGGGGTGGACAGAGAAAAAGGTAGGGGTGGGGCGATTGAAGAATTTTTTCCCCTTGTTTCAACTGCTGAGCAGAGAGATTGAGTCGGACCGGTAAGCTTTGGACAGCAAATACAGCGTGCGAAATATTAAACCGAGGCAGTTGCATTTGTTTGCGAGTTGAAACACGTACATTGGAACGTATTGGCGGTACACCGGTGGTGGTACGCTGTATAAAACTTTAAGCACATTTTTGGCAATATTATCCCGCGATTGGCAACCCCGGTCAGACAATCCTGCAGGGTGGTGGTGGTACATCAAAATCAATCTTGATTTGAAGCTTTCGTGACTGCAGGAATCCATACTCTTTGGTTCTTTCGGTAAAGTCACGTAGGTAGAAAATAAATCATGACGTTTCGGGCGCAACGTCGTGATTCATTTTATACCGACGTGACTTTACCGAAAGACATCAAAATCAGTTGATGTTATGTCGAAGTGGTGTTTCAGCGGCTGAACACGAAGAGGCTTCACGCTGCCTGTTGCCGTATAGCAGCACCCAGCCTGGTGACGATTGGCTACTCCGTGTTCCAAAGGCAGATTTGACTCCTCGTTGCCCGAGACTTGGTCGGACGGTTCCTCGATTCATTTCCGGAACAATTTCTTGGCAGACGGTGGCAACAAAAGATGACGCAACTCGTGGTGTCACACGTTCGAATGGGAAAGCAGCTGCTGAATCTGAGGCAACTTCTAATGGAGAATCTGCAGCTCACTCGAGGGTAACAGCGACATCGTCAGTTCGGGCCTCATCTTTACCTGGTGGTGGCCAACAGTAGAGGCAGACCAAAACTGAATTTCTGGTTTCGGCCGAAAGTTAAAAGTTTAACACGTAGGCTTTCGCAACCATTCTGGCGAATTGCCCGATGATGCTGGATGCAATTACCAGCGAAACGTCGTACTCAAAGCTTGTAAATGTTGTGGTTTCATGCTTCAACACACCGGTGGGCTAAAGCAGTGAACTATTTGTCTTTTGTCAACGTTACACTTTTTTACTGATTGGCCGTGTCGGGTGGTGGAGGGTTACGACACATTTATAAATAACGCGATCTAACCCAAAAACGTTGATTATGAATGATTACGAAAGTTAAAAGTTGACTTTCGGCCAAAACCGAAAATCTGCCGAAAGAGGCGATTTTCCAACTTTCGGCGCCGAAACCGAATTTCGGTCGGCCTCTAGCCGACAACAGCATCCTGTGCCCCGGACCCAAATCAACGGTCAACATCGACCTTTATTGTAGCCTCAGTAGACTGAATAAACATTCGAATAGCGTCAAACTTGGCGACAAGGTCAATTAAAGAATTATAAAGAGATTTATCGATACACATTTTTATTTCAGACTTCTGTTATGGTGCACCGGTGTACCGCCGATACGCCCATGTGGTGTTTGTTACCAGACATTCCCATGCCTGGTAAACCGGTTATAGTTTTCCTTCCAACACGGTTACCGGTAATGCAAACAAAACACATATTTTAACAACCCTGCTATGAACCCAAATGGCAAAGTTCCACTCCCGCCACGGCTAACATCAGTGGCGAGTGATACCTTAACCTGGTCCTGGGCGACTACTGCCGTTACCAACTCGTGGTGGTATTGGTGGAGTATTGGTGAACCAGTGCAGATGCACGACACGGTGTGCGGAACACTCATCCAGCAGTGAATCAGCAAAGGGCTGTGTTTACATTATAATAGTATTATTACATACAGCGTGAGCACTGTTGCATCTCCTATACACGTGTGAAGCTGTTGCTGTATAACGATACACACGCTCTACGCGAGTCGGATATCAACACAAGCCATTGTCTACCACACCCAGCCGCGCTAAGTTACGTTTAGTCATACGGTCACCACAATGCCACACGCGTTACTTCCTATCAATTACGGGCTACAACACAAGTCATAAAGACTTGTAAACGCATCGTATTCTACACAGAGCGGACGACGGCGGCGGCTTTGACGTCGTTGTTGAGAACGGCACCGCGGGTAGGCCGCGCGCAGCCTGCGACTTGCCTGATCGCTCCCTGCCGAGGGGAGGGCGACGACCTGGCGCTCTCGGCCGGCGGACTCGCCCGCGAGGTCCCCCGCTGCTCGCCCGCGTGGTACGAGGAGTCTTCGTGCGACTGGGCGCCAGCAAGGAGCGGCATCGGTGATCGCGCGTGGAGGTTTGTGTCGGTGAAGAGGAGCCCCCGAGTGAAAGTCACGCCGAGTCGAACTTCCGGGGTGGTGACCTCGCGGAATCGATTCCCCCGCGGGCGCCGCCGCCAGACGCGACGATTACGGAACGCGATTCGATTCCGATAGTTCCGGATTCGATTCGTAAAAAAGTCCGTAATCGATTTTGAGAGTGTGGGATCGATACAGCGGAGCACGTGGAGTCGAAACTTGCTGGTCATGCATAATGTGCAGTGGTACCTCGGTATACGGCGTGAATTCGTTCCAGAAGGTGGTAGGACTTATACCGAAAATGACGTATACCAAACGGATTGTTCCCCATAAGAAATAAAGGAAAAGGAAATGATCCGTTCCAGAATGTAAGAAATTATATTTTATATGGCATATTATACCTTAATGGGGTTGTATAAAATAATGTAGACACTACTTATTACTAAAATGCATACATAAATTAAAATAAATGCATACATAAATGAATAGAAATCAAAATAAAATGTAGCATCGCTTTACTTTGCTGAGAGGAGTTGATAGCCCACGAGGATGGTGGCGAGGAAGGGGAGGAGGAGATGTAATTTTTTGGAAGGAGAGTCCCCTTCCATTCTAGATTTGAAGCTTTCGTGACTGCAAGGATTCATACTCTTAGTTATTTCGGCAAAGTCACGTAGGTAGAAAATGAAATTAAAATTAATACAAATAAAATAATAAAAATCACGACGTTTCAGAGGCAACACAAGTCTCCGTCATCAGGTGGGACCGTCACAGCCAGATTTGCTGTATCAAGTGAATATAGTACCATTCCATTTAGTCCCCTTCCATTAAAACTTAAGGAAGCTGAAATTCTGGAGTTTTTTTTCCTTCTCTTTTCTGTCTTTTTTCTTGACTTGGACCTGGTTGAGGCTCACCAGGTTGGAGTTGTACTCAAAACCTGTCCATTGAAGTTTGTTTTTGCCTTCTTCTAAGAATGTTCCTGAAGTGTGACATTGGTCATTCCACACAATACTGTTACGGCCTGTTTGAGCCGTAACAGGATTGTGTACGCGGGTACTGTACGCGGTGACTCATCCCGACCCGTACAAGTTCTAGCAAGCGCGTCGTATCCCAAGCAAGACGCCGTATCCCAAGACTATTTTTTCTCGTCAAAACACGACGAATTCCAAATTCGACGTATACCGAGGTATGACTGTATATACATGGCGTATGTGCAGTATGTATGAATATATGTAAATCGTGTATGTAAATTACGCATGCACATCTTCTTGGTTCTTTCGGTAAAGTCACGTAGAAGGGAGGTAATAAAATAATAAAAATAAAACATAATAAAATAATTCTCACCACGTTTCGGCCACAACGCAAGCAGCCGTCCTCAGGTGAAGATCAAGTCTGTTGGGGAGACAGCATCTGAATGAAACAACACCAGGCTTGGAGCGTATATTTAAGCTGGGTTGGAAGGGGGGAAGGGCGCCTTGACAAATAATTTGCATATCAAGAGAAATTTAGCATATTTATGGGAAATGCAGGTATGTGATTAGTACTACTTGTGAAATGCATAGGAGGTGGGCGGGGGGGGGGTTTCAAAGTCATTATGCCTGTGCATTATGCAGGATTAGCAGCATCAAAGGGAGGGGATAGGGGTAGCATTAATAAAGGAAAGGAATGTTAATAGTATGTAGCTGCAGTAACTAAACAACCACGTAAAAAACTCCAGTATAAACTACATAGTATCATCAGTATACTAAATATACTCTCCAATAAGCTGAGCTACTAACAGTAAGTAATACATTACAATTCTATGTCGCAAAAAATATAATATGCTTCCAGCTAAACTTTTTTCCTTACATCACACGGGTCTACCCCGTACTATATGCTACGATAGACAAACCCAACATTAAATTATATACTGTATTACTATACACCACCCTGAGGACGGCTGCTTGCGTTGTGGCCGAAACGTCGTGAGAATTATTTTATTGTTTTATTTTTATTATTTTATTACTTCCCTTCTACGTGACTTTACCGAAAGAACCAAGATGAATCCCTGCAGTCACGAAAGTTTTAAATCGAAATTTACGCATGCACAATTTGCAGGTATTATATGTATACGCAACGTGTTAGCACATTCTTTATGTACATTTTTGTGTATATTACGAATGCACATAACGTATTTTCATTGCATATGCACTTTATGTGCGCACATTTTTTACGTGCATTGTGTCTGTAGATTTTGTGTGCACATTTTTTATTGTACATTGTGTGCACATTGTGTGTGCACATTGTGTGTGCACATTGTGTGCGCACATTGTGTGTGCGTAGTGACACTGCGCCGACTGCTGTCCAGCAGCGGCAACTGCGGTGGACAGCACACACGCTGCCGTCCAGCCCATACACGGCTGTGTGTGCCGGCAGGGCGGAGGAACTGGGGCAAGGGCCACGGAAGGCCTCACTGGGAGGCCCCTGGAACCCTCTGGTGGGTTCTAGAAGGGAGGCGCGGCCAGGGCGGAGCCAGGCCGCGCCGAGTATAATAAAAGCAGCGGAGAGCGACGGGCTGCCGGTTCTGGGAGTGGACTCGTCTCATCGTCGTCACCGCCTTCGCCCGATCATTGCGCGGCCGCACAGTTGTTGGCTGTCTCGGTCGACGCCGTCGGTGCAACGCGGACAGGGTTGTGTCTGGGTCGGGCTGTACGGCAACGTGGTCGAGAGAGAGGAGGCGATCCGTGTGAGCGTGAACGGCCGGAGTGGTGCAACGGAGTTTGTGACGAGGGGGAGACGGGGGGGGTTGAGAAATGTGACGTCACCTCAAAATGCACAACTTGAAATTAATATAAACAACACGTTCTACTTAATTAAATAGAAATGTTATAACAACACTAATTTTGATTAATTTTCATTAATAACTATTTGATTATTTAAATTTACTAAGGTCACCTTTTATTATTCCATGAAGGAGCATTTTGCTTCTCAATGGGAGGGGGGGGGGGGTCAAAAATCGGCCAAAGTCGCGTGACGTCATTTATGGAGGGCCCCTATGATTTGTGGCCAGGCCGCTTCTGAATAAGAGTTGCATAGCTCAGTGAGCCCTTACCTAGTCGCATTAAAAGTTTCGTTTGACATTTTTGGAAGCTTCATTGTCCAGGCAATGGGTCGATTGAAATATGTGAACTTGCAAGGTCATGAGACATGGCAAGAACGAACTAACTTGAAGCTTTCCAGTGAGCAAGGTAGAGAACAGTGTTAGTTGAAGCGTGTAAATGCGGCCACGTCAACGGCACCAAACGTGAGTTGGTCATCATAGCACGTTGTAAATATCAAACCAAAATATCGGAAAACTCGTGGATGTTGAGAGAGATGAACCTACGGAGGATAAGAACAGAAGCAGACAAATGTCTCCTTCGCAAGTCCGTCTTGCGCTACGAATCTGCCCCAATGGTCTTTCTGGGAGTGCATCAGTTCGGCAGCGTGAAGGGTAGATGTGATCACCGCATCGTGCGCTTTTGGATGCGCTTCTGCGGCCGTCTGGAACGCTCTTCCGACATTAGGAAGCCACTGGAGGTGATCGACTTATACATCTAGATTGAAAACTAATTTCTTTCGAACTGCTGTTTGTGTTTAGTTTGTTGTCCTTTCCCCGCACCTCCGATTAATTAGCACGGCTGGTCACGTACGGTGCGAAAGAAGTTCAACGTACACGTGTGCATAATCATGGTATCATACACTGACTCGGCTATGGTAATTTTTTTTTACCAGTTTTTATTTCCAAATCTCAACTTGCAACATCCTCTGTGCTCGTGAAGGGTAACGTTACACCAACCAACGCACGGCCTTTTGTTTAATAATACAACATGATATAATAGCCACAAAGCACCGAACAAAGCCCAGAATTTGTTCTTGTTGGAAAACATGAACACAAAAAGGCGACGTATTGCCAGGGACTTCATTACTATTTGGTTCTTTTGCTAAAGTCACCTTTTACAACAGTCTGCCTCAGCAGCAGGCCATGCTTTCCCACCTGATGACGGACGCTTGTGTTGCGCCCGAAACGTCGTGGTTTATTTTATTTTCTACCTACGTGACTTTACCGAAAGAACCAACGAGTATGGATACCTGCAGTCACGAAAGCTTCAAATCAAGATGGGACTTCATTTGTCACGGAATATTTTCCGGCCCGCTGGTAGATGGGGAGGAGGTGGCATGCTGCTCGCAGCCGCAGCCAAAGTAAAATGTGTTCTGGTTTTGGTGTCTCAGCTGCGTAGAGATTCTTCAAGTCGCTGACCCAGAGGGAGCCGGCTGAAACGAAGCCCTCGTTATCACGGAGAACATTCGCGAATAATGCTGCACTGTGCTGTGAAGAGGAGAAGTCCTCTTGGCTGTTAAAGACGAGAGGATTCACGATCAACACACGTTTACCTCGAGCTGTCAGACGATCCTCAGGCCTTGAGGGCCGTCCATAAATGACGTCACGCGATTTTAGACGATTTTTGACCCCCCTCTTCGTCACACGGCGTCACAAAAAGTCAGACTCCCCCCTCAAATATGACGTCACAAAGCTCTGCCCCCACCAAAAAAATAAAACATGCTTCAAATCGCTTTAAACTATTGTCATTGTAGTGCGTATTTATTGTGGCGCTGCACTCTGATGTTGTAGGAGAAAACATTTATTAAAAAAAAAATATTTAATAAAGTAGAACGTTGTCTATATTTATTTAAAGTTGCGCATTTTGATGTGACGTCACATTTCTAAACCCCCTCCCCCCATCGTCACACATCGTCACAAATGTCTGACCTCCCCCCCCTAGGTGCGTGACGTCATTTATGGACGGCCCCTTGCCCATCTGCAGTCTCTACGCTTACATCAGTCCGTCGCATGCATGGTGACATGTTCATTTCAACGCATAGAGGGAATCCACATATTCTCAGCTGAACAATGATCCATAGTCAATAACGTGACTATATTGACCCCCAATTAGTCTCTGCACGTGATAGGCTCACAGTGGTGGCACCACATTCTTCACGCTTCTGGCTAATCACCTCGACGAAGCTGATTGTAGTAAACACCATGCAGAGGAACGTCGTAACTCGAATTGTATGAGAAATATCTCTCTTGCCAGCACGTGTGTGGTGTCTTCTGTTTGGGTCAGAAGGTGAGTCGCAGAAACTACCACTGCTTCGCGTAACAAGTCAGTCAGAAATCACGTCCCTATGTGCGTCATACACGCATACACATTCATGGAGGCATCGTACCAACAGATGCAGCTTTAATAACCGATACTCTTTGGTTCTTTCGGTAAAGTCACGTAGGTATGAAATAAAATAAATGACGGACGCTTGTGTTGCGCCCGAAACGTCGTGATTTATTTTATTTTTCTACCCACGTGACTTTACCGAAAAAACCAAAGAGTATGGATTCCTGCAGTCACGAAAGCTTGAAATCAAGATTTAATAAACGAAGTTGAGTTCATGCCACCCACAGCTGCACGTGGGACAGATGAAAAAAATTAGTCTCCCGTGCCCAGATGACAGACGTGTCATTAGTGTTCACTTCGCCACTCCTGTGGGGAACGCATGGAAGTTCTGTTTACTAATCAATCGCTGCATTTTACCAGCGGGGTGTGGGGGGGGTGTGCCACGTCTCATACCCTCTGCGTCTGCGATGCCACGTGGGATTTCACCCGGGCATCTCTGCTGCGCCGTGCTGCAGCCAACGACACCAAGGCCAGAGGTCGCAACCGGGTACCCGATACCCGTACCCTACCCGATACCCGGCTACCCGTACCCCGCCGGGTACGGGTACGGGTAGCCGTTTGCGACCCTGGTGCGGCCGGGTACGGGTACGGGTAGGCCGTGAGTCACTGGTGAGTAACCGTTTGTCACTCATTTCGGGTAGGGTACGGGTACGGGTAGGGAACGGGTACGGGTACCCATTTGCGACCCTGGTGCGGCCGGGTACGGGTACGGGTAAGGAATCAAAACCCGTTTGCGACCTCTGACCAAGGCACTCGCATCTTTTTTTGTGCGCGTTTAGTTTGCTGCCCTTCCCCCGCACCTCCGATGTGCGCCGTTGGCTGCGAGCGATGCGAAAGAAGTTCAACACACACACACATTGTCGGGGCAGACCGCCGCGCGAGTGACACGCCGATGTGTGTCGTACGCCCTCCTCCACCTGACACGGTCAAATAAATAAAGTCGCCGCGTGAACAAACGTGCCGTTTTATGATTCTTACGCACGCCGGCCTATTGCAGAGCCACTTTAACAATTGGGTGCGGACTATCTGACCCAACAATCAATCGTGAATCGTTGGTCGCGAAAGCCGACGTGTTACAAAGTTACCGATGTTGCAATTTCACGTGCACGCTTCTTGTACGGGAGTTTGCGGAGTAATGGAATTTTGCTGTGCACGCTTTGATAAAATTGCTTTATTCACCAGAAGAGTTCCCCTGACATAGGGACGTTATAAATTGCGAGGCGTATATGGGTTAAATAGACGGCGATACATATTCTCCCAAAATTATATTGTGATACAAAAAAATACAGTATTGTCGGGTTAGGCTGCACAATATCTTGCTGATAAATACAATTACAAAAGTTTACTTTAACCACTCATTCAGAATGCATAAGCCATCGGAGGCGGTGGAGAAATGTACCGATCGTGACATTGAATTTGGAACTCTAGAAAGGAGCGACGTTCATCAGCTACACTCGGCTCCTGTGCCTGTTGAGTTTCACTGTCAGAGCTCCTCTACACATTACCAAAGCAAACGCAAAGCACCGTTTCGAAGGTTTAATCCCTGTACGGTTATCACTGTGCACAGCTTTGTAATTGTGATTATTATTGCGACAAAAATTGTTGTGGAATATGCAACATGTATTTTAAAATGCGATGTAAAAATGTGATTTCATATGGGGGGGGGGGGGGGGTGAATTGGTTATGAGCAGGTGAACCGAGTAACTGAGTAGCCGCACGAATCCGCATTGTTCATTCACCCTTGCTGTACGGACTGGTTGCCGTGGGACCTCAGGGGAGTGCACCAAACCTCCAGCCTTTGAACGATTCCCGGCATCTCATCGCAGTACTTCTGCGAGCCGGTCAAGCACAGAAACCCCCCTTCCTCGAACTCGATCCTGAGCGAGCGCCGGCCAGGGGTCCAACCCAGCACTTGGTCGATGGCACGGTGGAACACCACCAGCCCGGACGCCTTCTCCACCAGCACCAGGCTCGAGGCGGACAGCGCCAGGAAGCACGGCACGTCGTTGTCGGCATTGTCGTCGGCATTGTCGTCGGCGGCGTCGGTGTCGTCGTCGTCGTCGGCGGCGGCGGACGAGGAGCAGAAGTCTCGCGCGAGGACGTCCCACACCAGGGCCCCTCTGCTGAGCAGCTCGGCACGGGGCCTGGGCACCAGCTTCTCTTTGCGCCACGGGTTGAGCGGGAAGGCGAAGCGCGTGTTGGCGTCCAGCGCCGTCGTCGTCACCGACTTCTCGGCCAGCTCGCGCAGGCTCTCGTGCCGGGCGCGCGTCGCCATGGCGTGGAACTTGTCGCACTTGTGCGCCGCCTTCTCCGCGTTGACGATCTTGGTGAGGAGGAAGGCGCGGAAGGCGGACGGGTCGCGGAACGAGCCGCCGCGGGGCAGCTGCGGCCCGAACGCGGGGACGCCCTTCGAGCGGGAGACGGCGACCCTGAGGGGGGGGGGGGGGTAACGCGCGCCGCAGAGAGAGAGGGGAGAGGGGAGAGAGAGCGGTATAGCTTTCGACGGTAACCCAATCGTGGGATTTCCCCGCCGGAGCGAGGGTTCGAGGTTTTAGTGGCTGGGGAGTGCAGGAGGATGTGGAATTCCAGGCATTGGTGGTTGCCACTGAAGTTTGGGGTGGGAGGTTCCAACTGGGTTGGGAGGAAAGACATGTTTTGCCATCGCGAAGATTTTATGAAAACCGTGCTTTCGCAACGAACGCTAACAATTTCGCTATGTAATAATTTTAGGTTCAATTAAAGAATGCATTCCACAACGCTAGCCAGGCATGTGCAGTAAACGTGTATTATTTCACACTCAGCTTTTATTTTGATACATTTTATCCCACATGCAAAATATCTCGAAATGGCTTAACCTATCTCTGTAGAAGGACCATTGCCTAAAACGTTAGTCTAATATATATCTCTTTGATATAAGGTCGCGTCACTGGCGATGGCAGCGTGGTTATTAAACCCAAAACTATTTTTTATTTTACCAGGTAAGGCCTACTGAGCTATGAAACTCTTCTTCAGAAGCGACCTGGCCACCACAAATGGATCACTCAACGCAGTGGCTTATCAAGTGGAAATTCAAAGCAGACAAACACTCGAAAGGCACGTTGATTCTAAATTGTGGAGGGAAAAGCCGGAGGACACGGATACAAATTCACGCCAACACGGGGAGTACACGCAAACTTCAAATATACAGCAGGCATCAGGGTTGAGGATCGAACCCACGACCTCCTGTATACCAGGCGAGGTAGTTAACATCTCTCCACCATTGTGCAATTATTATTTATTATTCAAGACGAGCCCCTCAACCTCCCCTCACGCACGCTGCGAAGGTCGATTTACGCAGCAGCCTCACGGCGAAGGGGAGAACAATTCGGATGAATGAAGAAGGAACGGAAACCTCCCGCGCTGAGCGGAAACCACCGCGTGGCACCGTCCGTGGAGGTTGGTGGTGGTGGTGATGGTGGTGGTGATGGTGGTGATGGTGGTAGTCATGGTGGGGGTTGGTGGTGGTGATGGTGGTGGTGATGATGGTGGTGGTGGTGATGATGGTGGTGGTGATGGTGGTGGTGATGGTGGTAGTCATGGTGGTGGTGGTGGTGATGGTGGTAGTCATGGTGGTGGTGGTGGTGTTGATGGTGGTGGTGATGGTGGTGGTGATGATGATGGTGGTGGTGATGGTGGTGATGGTGTTAGTCATGGTGGTGGTTGTGTTGGTGGTGATGGTGGTGGTGATGGTGTTAGTCATGATGGTGGTGGTGGGGACGGCGTGGAAGGCAGCACCTGTACGAGACGGCCGGCTCGCCGGGCTCCGCCACGACGCGCACCACGATGAACACGTGCTGGAACTGGGAGCGGACGCAGCGCGCCGTGAAGGGCAGGGAGCCGGGCTCCTGGAAGATGACGGTGACGATGTCGTTGCCGATGTGCCGCTTCCTGAGCACCTGCGCGCGGGCCGAACCGCGATCGTCGTCAGGCGAGATTGGCGGGCGTCGCTCAAGCGCGGCGATCGGGCGCAAGGGGCTTTCCGGAGGACGTCGTTTTACAGCGGCACTTTCGTGTGGCCGGCTCCAGTGACGAAGAACTCTGATGTAATTTAGTTTTTTTGTCATATCGAACATACAGCAACGCGCGCAATAATAATATAAAAGTGTGAAATACATGATTCATAATTAATTTATTGTGGGTTAGGTCGTGTAGGCATAAACACATTTGTTTTATAACCCTCCAGCATCCGACAGTGCCAATCAAATCCATTTATCACGTGGGCAAATGTGCCAATTGATTTGGTTTATCAGCACACCAGAGTGCTGAAATTCATGCAAAATGTTGCCAATTTTGCGCCACGTTTCGCTGGAGATTACATCGTGACACTGACATCGCGTTAATCGTCATATTCGTGAAACTCGATTTCGTGTCGTAAAACCGATTAAAGTTGCGGCAACCCCAGTGGCACAACTGCTGCCCACTGTCTCTGCGCGTCTCTCGTGCCCCGTACCTGCTGACGGTCGTTGGGCATGTACGGCAGCATGGTGGACACGTGGAACATGATCTCGTAGCCCTGGAAGGCGGTGTAGAGCGAGTGCGTTCCCGTCGAGTCCACTGAACGAGGACAATATGCACGGAGTGAAAAAAGAGAACACGCTGTTAAGTAAATCCCGTCGAGATGACAGCGAACAAAGTTCAACTTGCAATGCGCCGCGAAGCGCTCGCTCGCTCTCGTAGAGAGAGAACGACTCGGAGGCGCGATGAGGAACCACAGATGAGCGGGAAGGCAGCAGCGGCCGCGCGGTGAGCAGGCACCAACAATTGCCTAAGATCTGCGGTCCTCTATACATTGAGATGTTATCGGCCAATTGAAGAGTGGTCACACGTGGGTCGAAACCGGAGCACCTGGAGAAAACTCACGCGTGCGAGGGGGAAACACTCTATCCCGGACAGACGAAACAGGTAGAGTCCACATTGTTTTGCTGTACGGCCATCTCCTGACGAGCCAGGGTATGACATTATGAAAAATAAGAATAGGTGTTACCCTTTCTGGCAATAAAACACATGTGTTAAGACGTCCAAACACCAAGGAATCAAGTCTGCATTAACCACACACAGCATTTGCGGTGAACATGAACACAAACGTGCTCTGATAATAATAGACGCACTGTCTTTGAGACTGATTGGCCTACACCAGAAGCAGCCATCTACGACCCTTGCTCGACGCCAATGACAAGGGAGTTCACAACATTCGCGTGATCCACCAACCTTCGCCTCCACAGAGTTGGATTGCAGGCCACGTGCATAGCCACCACTGTCCAGCTAACACGACACACGCTGCAGAAGAGCATGTGACTGAGATTGTAAATGATGCTGAAATTCAAACGTGACCATGCTTTTAACTCCTCCATAATAGAGCTTTTTTTTTGGTTAGATCGCATAAATATATAAATGTGACGTGAAACCCGTCACCACCCGACACGGCAAACTAGTAAGGGTTGTCACGTAAACAGAACGTGCCAATTCGTCACTAGTACAGCATTAGTGTGTAGTGTAGTGTATGGTAGTGTAGTGTATAATAGTGTAGTGTGTAGTGTAGTGTATATTAGTGTAGTGTATAGTATAGTGTATAGTGTAGTGTATAGTGTAGTATATAGTGTAGTATACTAGTACAGCACTAGTGTATAGTGTAGTGTATAGTGTAGTGTATAGTGTAGTGTACTAGTACAGCACACCGGTGTGTTGGAAAGCAAATCCACAACATTGACAATCTGAGTACGACGTTTTGTTAGTAATTACAACCAGCTTCATCAGGCGACAGCCAGATCTGTGCAGTCATCCTCCTGTTTGAACTCCTATTTACAATGCGATTAAAACATTTCCATTTGTTTTGTGTGCAATGTCAGGCCAGTGACACGTCACGAGATGATTTTTTCCTCTTGCAGATGAAGAGGGCGGCACCCTCGCCTCTGCAGGTCCCACACACACACACGCTCTATAAAAAGTGCTACACGTTAGAGTAATTTCCTGTCCCGCGGACTTCCAGGAACACGCCAACAGTTCATGGGGAGTCTCCACAACAGGAACTGAGAATTATAACTTTTTGTTGGGCTAATGGAACACGCAACGCACGGAAAGATAATACATGTTTTGGTGGGATGTTATTGCCAAAACAATATTTGTAAATGGCGATGCATAAGCAGTTTGTGTGTGTGTGTGTGTAAACGGTAGACAAATCCTGCTGATTCTCTTTGAATCCCATCTCTTGGCTACCGGTCACCATTACAGAGTTTAAAATCGATCCTCACCCCACGCGGCTTGTTATCGGTGACTCCTCCTCGTGCCTCTCAGTCATTCTCTCTCTCTCTCTGGACGAGAGCGAGCGGATACTCTGCGGCGTGTCACAATTTGAAATGTATAAATGATTATCTCGTGTTTTTTTTTAACTCGCCGTGTTCACTGTGTGCATCTTGCCCCGCGTCTATGTATGTTGAACTTCTTTCGCACCGTACGCAGATCGTGCCAGGACACCATCGACTAAAACGGAGCCGACTGACTCCATCGTGCACCGCACAAGCCGTCGTGTAGCAGTAGCCGTGGTGGTAACTGAGCTCCCGCCTTTGTGCAAGATAAACAGACTCTCCTCGCCATCAGAATAATGATTTACGTTCGTAAGGCGCATTTCAATCCAAGGATCCCGATGGCGCCGTGTATGGAACACGGGGAAAAAAGACAGAGCCAGCGGTAAGACGACCGAATCTATGGGGGGGGGGGGGGGGGGAAGGAAGGCCACTTTAGAAAGGTGAGTTTCCAGGGTCAGATTTAAGTCGCTCTAAACCTTCTGATTGTCTGATTGTCGGAGGTCAACACGTTCCATAGTCTTGGAGCTGCACTGACAGAAGCTCGATCACCCCAGGAACGGAGCCTCGACCTCGGTTTTTAGTTTTTCCCGAAGCCAATTATTATTAAAAAAATGATTTTAGTTTATTGGGGGTCTTTCGGCGTGACGTGGGCCTGACTCAAAAACAATGAAACAACGATGAATCGGGCCTCTCCTGTGGCCCGAAGCTGAGCGACGAGGCTATTGCGGTTTTGCCCCGTGGCCTGCAGATTTTCCGCTGGCTTCCTGGAATATATTCGCCGAGCGTTTTTCAGAATCGTTTAGCTCGCAGAACATTTGGGGGGGGGCAGGGGTCAGGGGTCAAATGCGGCGAGGCGGTATCCCGTACGACGGGAGATTGAAAATGCCGACGGCGGAGGTGACTTTGACAGCGACGACGATGATGATGATGGCGTTTATGAGCATGGTTGTGAGAATCGCTGTGAATGGTTGTCTCTGGCGCAGGCCAATCAGTTGCAAAGACAATGCATGTGTTGAGGTGCCAATAGGGCGCAGAAGAGGGGCTGGGCCCCAGTGTTCAAGGACTATGGCCCACAGGGCTCAACGGTCACCCCTATGGAACGGTAGACAGACTCCAGACCCCAGGAGGGGGCTGGGGAATGACATCACCTCCAGGTCCTGCTAGAAGGTTCTGGAAGGAAGGCGTGGCCGGGGCAGAGCGAGCCACGGCCCTGGGTAAAAGCCGGACCTCTGAACGGTCCCAGGCAGTCGTCGTCCAGCTGAAGACGAGAAGCCTCCTGAAGAGAATTGCCCCAAGGGCAGAGCCGTACCCCTGGCTAGGGCTGGCTCTAGCTGTAACCAGTGAAGACTGAAGAGAATTGCCCCAAGGGCAGAGCTGTACCCCTGGCTAGACCTGGCTCTAGCTGTAACCAGTGAAGACTGAAGAGAATTGTCCCAAGGGCAGAGCCGTACCCCTGGCTAGACCTGGCTCTAGCTGTAACCAGTGAAGACTGAAGAGAATTGCCCCAAGGGCAGAGCCGTACCCCTGGCTAGACCTGGCTCTAGCTGTAACCAGTGAAGACCCAAGCTTCACTCAAGGAGGACTCGTAGATGAGCCAGTGAGAGGAGTATTAGTCCAGACTGGCTACCTCCTCAGTGTATCGGGTGTGAGGGGCCGCTACCCCTGTGTGAAGGAACCATTGTTAAATAAAAACGGTGTTGCCTCAGAGAAGCTCTCTTCTAGTTATTCAACCCACTACACATGTATTATCAGATCATGTTTGTTCGCACGTTCACCACAAGTACGTGTGGTTAATGCGGACTTGATTACTCGAATGAGGTTTCTATTTTGTGTTTGACCATTTTAACACCTCCTGTTTTATTGTCAGAAAAGGGAAAACCGATTTATATTTTTCACACTTTGATACTGGCAAAAAAAGTCCCATGATATGTGATGTTGATTATTTAGATAATAAGTGCTGACAATAATGTATTCCAGGAGAGCCTCACTCAGTGTACCGTACAGACTTGTTCAGGAAGCCACCGCATTGAGACAAGAGCTGTGTACGAATTAGTAGTCCGCCACAGATGTCCACATTACGAGCGGCGCGGGATCCTCTACCCATACGATGACCACTGTGGGCCATCACTCATTTAGCGTAACTACGGAGATTATTAATTAACGGGCTACAAAACCTACTTGCTGTACTGTCATCCCCTACGTGCAGCAGCAGCAGCAGTATGATGGCAATCATCATCATAATCACCCTTGTCAGCTACAACATCACCAGTATCCACGGTGTAACACAGACACAAAATCTGATTTATTTTCCACTTGTACCCGTTATCTGTCTATGGCACACGAACACGATGTCTTTTCTGCCACCTCTGAGCGACTCGTCGGCATTTTTGACACGGACAACAGCAGGACTCGTCGTGTGTACGTTGAACTTCTTTCGCACCGTACGTAGCCAGCCGGGCTGATCGGAGGTGCGAGGGAAGGACAACAAACTAAAATAACTACAAGCAGTTCTACAGAAATGTTTGTCAATCTAGATTATTGAAAAGTGCACAGTTCCAGTAGCTTCCTAATATCGAGAAGGAGGAGCGTTCCAGACGGCCGCAGAAGCGCATCTGAAAGCGCGCGATGCGGTGACCACCTTTGTTCGATGGCCAGCCACAAGCCGCTCGCTGCCGCTGCGAGGGTTTTGACCAGAGCTGCCGTTGCGAGGATCACCGTAAGCGGGTAAGCGGAGTGGCGGTGAGCCGAGTGTGTGTTCTGCGCGGATCGATTCGGGAGGTGATGGAGGCATGAGTATTGACTTGATAATGACACAGATCACAGGACCTTTTTTTTTTCTGAGTGGCTCCGTAACGACGCTGCAGGCAAAGGCACGCGTCTCCACCCGCGAGTTACGCGATTGATTTATTTTTGTTTGGCTCAGATCGCGTGAATGCTAATGAACGTGTGTCGTTCACCCAAATACAGCAATGAAAACGTACGACGTGCACTTCACTTAAGACAACGCGATCCAGAGAGAGAGAACAAGAGGAGTCGATGACGTTTGGGTTGGTAACGTCATCCGTCTCAAAAAAATCGTTGTGCGCGTTAAGGCGTCTCTCATGGGACCGTTCTTGCCAGTATCAAAATATAAGAATTGGTACCATGATGTAGCGGCTCACCCCGAGCTATAAATGCCCTGATGGTGGCATTGTCATTGTAATGTTCGCCTTTTGGCGTTCTCTGGTCTAACACTGTTTGAGACTACGCTCTAAAGAAAGCTGTCTCTGGTGTGGACCAATCAGTTTCAAAGACAATGCATCACATACTACCAGAGCATGTTTTTGTTTGCATGTTCACCACAAAGTATGTGTGGTTAATGCAGACTGTGATTCCACGCAAAAAGGCTTCTGTTTGGTGTTTTAACATCTTAACACCTATAACAATAGGTTTTCCCCTCTTTTTCTGGCAACAAAACTGAAACCTTTTAACAAGGAATCATGTTTGCATTAACCACAATGCTTGTGGTCAGAATGCAAACAAAAAACATACTCTGATAACATATGCATTGTCCTTGAAATTGATTGGTCCACACCAGAGACAACTTTCTTTTGAGCCTCGTCTCAAACGGTGCTAGACAAGAGGATGCCAAAAGGCGTACGTCACACCTCCTGTTTTATTTCCAGAGAGGGTAACGCCGATTCTTGCAAGGCGTCTCTGTCCGTCCGCCCGTCCGTCTTACTCTTGTTGTCGAGCTGGGCTCGGAACTTGGCGAAGCCCTTGAGACGGACGTAGTCCCCCAGCAGGTGCAGGAACTCGGTGAGTGCGGGGCCGGCCTCCTCGTTGTTGTACATCTCGTCCTCGCTGCTCTGCCCGGCCCGGCAGTACATGATGCCCACCTTGAGCTGCGAGCACAGCTGGGTGAAGACGAAAGAGCGAAGGTGACCACACGCGCAGTGGTGGACTAGGCTAGTGCGGGGCCTGTAGCGTATGTTATAAACGAGGGCCTAAATAAAAACAACACGTAAATATTAACACAAATTTTTAACTTGCATAGTAAAGTAATTGTAATTTTTCATTTGCTATACAGCCAGATAATACGACAAATCGCTAACCTTAAACACCCAGTCGTTCATAGAAGTTGAAGGTGGTATAGTACTATAGTAATAGAGCAAGTGCAGAATCACTGAATAGGAATTGATAGCTTGAAAGCATTTAGCGCGGGGCCCTTGAAAGTGTGGGGCCCGTAGCATATGTACAGTAGCTACTACATATGTAGCTACTACATGTGTAGATACTACACATGTAGCTCCGACAACCCTTACTAATTGGCCGTGGTGGCGGGTTTTAACAGCACATTGTTAATTTACGCGATCTAATCCCACAAAAAACCTCTATTATGTATAATATTGGTTGCCAAAGCCTACTTCGTGTGAAACTCCTTTAGTTTTAAGTTTAGACACGGAGGCTTTCGCGACCAATATTCACAATACAGGTATTTTTTCGTTAGGTTAGATCGTGTGACTATAAATGTGTCGTCAAACCCGCCATCGCTCGATGCAGCCAAACTAGTAGGGTTCCTGCCACAAGCATTGTGGTTAATGCAGACATGATTCCTCGTAAAAGGTTTCAATTTGGTGTTTTAACATCTTAACCCCTGTTTTGTTGCCAGATAAAAGGGGAAAAACCCTAGTATCATATTTTGGTACTGTGGAAAAGGAGGTCCCATGATGTAGTGATGTTCCATCACCCCAAAACAGTTCGTAGCTTTGAGTCTTCCTCTTTGGTTCTTTCGTTAAAGTCACGTAGAAAGAAGAAATAAATTAGTAGCATACGACGTTTCGATCGCAACACAAGCAATCATCATCAGGTACAAATGAAAGAAAAAACTCACCTAGTATAAATTTCGATTTAAAGCTTTCGTGACTGCAGGGATTCATCTTCTTGGTTCTTTCGGTAAAGTCACGTAGAAGGGAAGTAATAAAATAATAAAAAAATAATAAAAATTAAACATTATTACTTCCCTTCTACGTGACTTTACCGAAAGAACCAAGAAGATCACCTAGTATGCTTAGAAATATAATGCAATACAACATAGAGAGTCGGCTAACACAACAGTCAACACCCCACCTGGTTGATTAAGTTCTTCCAAAGATTGCTAAATGTGAGAGAGGCAAAACACAGACACGGAGACACATAGACAGACACAGATAAAGATAACACAAGTTTCAAGTTTCATTTCTTAGGTATAGCTCTGTGAGCCATGCGGCTCTTAATTCGGGTGCAACCGCAACTAACAAAATATGAACACAGAACATTACAAAGCGACGACGCACAACAGAAACATCCTGGAATAAACCAGCAAATATAACAAAAACACAGAGACACACAGAGAGAGACACAGAGAAAAAACGCCTTTGTGTCGATGCCTTAAATAGAGAGAGAAGGGGACAGAGAGAGAGAGAGGGGGGAGGGTAGAGAAATCAGCATGCCAATGAAAGATTTGGAGCTTTCGTGAATGCATGAAATCATAGAGCGAGGACACACACAGCGAGAGAGACCATTCCCACCACCCCACCTCTCTCTTTTTTTTTACGATCAGTGGAAACAAGAAGATGCTCGGTATAGTCGGCACTTTGCTTCGTTCATCATTTCGAAAAATGTTTTTAAAATAACTTTGCTTTATGGAAACCCCCACTTCTCGCTCACTCTCTCGCTCTCTCGTTCTGCACGCAGCCCTTATCGCAGTCCAACGGTCTCCGACGGGTAGCTCGTAACTGTATGCAGAGCTCCCCGTCATCTGCCACCGAGCACACGGCCTCCTCCATCGCCCACTGCTCCTTGAAGGCCGGCACGGCGTGGCTCAGCCGCGCATGGTGGAACTCCAGCCCACACGCCCTGGCTCCGACCAGAGCGCGGAAGATGCCCACGCTGCTGGCCGGACGTTTCCTCTCCAGGGCCACCTTCCTCGCCCTGTAACTCACCTCCTGCTCGTCGATGCGCAGCAGGCTGTCGGCCAGCTTGTGCGTGTTGGCCGCGAGCTTGAGGCCCCGCAGGCCTTGCTGGGCCTGCAGCTCGGGCAGCGCCGCCTCGAGGACATCGCGGCCGGGCAGTCCGCGTGCCGTGCCGTGCCGCGCCGCGCTGGCCACCGCCTCCTCCATCACCGAGCCGCGCAGCGTGTGCAGCTGGGGGGGGGGGGGGGCAATTAGTGCGTCTTTGGAACCTCATTTGGCAGTAGAAAAATATGATAATTGTTTTTTTACCCTTTTATCTGGCAACAAAACTGACACCTTTTTACAAGGAGTTATGTTTGCATTGACCACAATACCTGCAGTCGTAATGCAAACAAAAAACATAACTCTGATAATGTATGCACTGTCCTTGAAATTGATTGGTCGACACCCGAGACAGCTTTTCTTAGAGCCTAGTCTCACATGGTGTTGGACCAGATGACGCCAAAAGGCGCACAACTCATATTTTGCTACTGGCAAATGAGGTTCTAATGGTGTAAATGCTTACCCGGAGCTCTCATACTCTGATGGTGCATTGTCTTTGAGTTGTGCGCCTTTTGGCGTCATCTGGTCCAACACCATGTGAGACTAGGCTCTAAGCAAAGCTGTCTCGGGTGTGGACCAATCAACTTCAAGAACAGTGCATACATTACACTGGTCAACACACTTTTTCTGGCATAAGGTATTCCAATGGTTTTAAGGTAATTTTGTGGTGCTGATTCCAAATCTGGCATCAGTTTTTGTCTATCACATCAGGTTTTTGAGATATCAAATATTGCATTTTCAATAAAAACTGCAGAAGAAAAATATTAAATAAATGTGGATATCTACATAAAACTATATTATAAACACCCTATCCTAAAAATACAGCACCATATTTTAGCACTAAAGCAGTCACTGACTCGCAACAACTTGCAATCATAAGTGACAGAGTTAATTTCGGGTAAAATCAATGAAAATGGGGTATGCCGATAGCATAAAAATGATGTGATAGAGCAAATCTGAGATCAGATTTGGAATCAGCACCCTGAAATTAGTCTAGAACAGCTGCAAAAGTCCAGGCCAGAATTTTTTTTTGTTGACCAGTGTTATCAGAGTTGTGTTTTTTGTTTGCATTCCGACTGCAGGTATTGTGGTCTATGCAAACATGACTCCTTGTGAAAAAGGTGTCAGTTTTGTTGCCAGATAAAAGGGTAAAAAACCAATTACACTGGTCAACAATTTATTTTTTCTGCCCTGGACTTTTGCAGCTGTTTTAGACTAATTTCAGGGTGCTGATTCCAAATCTGATCTCAGATTTGCTCTATCACATCTCATTTTTATGCTATCGGCATACCCCATTTTCATTGATTTTACACACACACTATACACACACACTACACACACACTATACACACACACACTATGCATACACACTATACACACACACACTATACACACACACACACTATATATACACACACACTATGCACACACACTATACACACACACTATGCACACACACACTATGCACACACACACACTATGCACACACACACACTATACACACACACTACACACACACACTACACACACACACTATGCACACATACTATACACACACACACTATGCACACTATACACACTATGCACACAAACACACTATGCACACACACTATGCACACACAAGATGGACACACACACTACACACACACACACTATGAACGCACGCACACAATGCACACACACACACACTATGCACACACACACTACGCACACACACACTATGCACACACACTATGAACACACACACACTACACACACACACACACTATACACACACTATACACACACACACTACACACACACTATACACACACACTATGAACACACACACACTATACACACACACACTACACACACACTATGCACACTATACACACTATGCACACACACTATGAACACACACACACTACACACACACACACTATACACACACTATACACACACACACTATACACACACTATACACACACACTACACACACACACTATGCACACACACACACTACACACACACACTATGCACACATACTATACACACACACACACTATACACACACACTATGCACACTATACACACTATGCACACAAACACACTATGCACACACACTATGCACACACAAGATGGACACACACACTACACACACACTATGAACGCACGCACACAATGCACACACACACACACTATGCACACACACACTACGCACACACACACTATGCACACACACTATGAACACACACACACTACACACACACACACAATACACACACACTATACACACACACACTACACACACACTATACACACTATGAACACACACACACTATACACACACTACACACACTATGCACACACACTACACACACTACACACACACTATGCACACACACTACACACACACACTACACACACACACCACACACACACTATACACACACTATACACACACACACTACACACACACTATGCACACACACTACACACACACACCACACACACACTACACACACACACCACACACACACTACACACACCACACACACACTACACACACACTATGCACACACACTACACGCACACACCACACATACACTACACACACACACCACACACACACTACACACACACTATGCACACACACACTACATATGTAGTGGTGGTATTGACGTGCGCCGGCAGTGATGGATCACGGGGCGCGGGGTTGGGCACGCGGTGTGGGCGTGGCATGGACGCGCGCGCCGGTGGTGAGGCGCGCTCACACAAGCTGGGAAAAGAGGATCGTAGCGAGTGCGCAGTGATTGGTCGGATAAGTGGGTACTCTCAGCGACGTCCGCAGGAGGGGTATAAAGGGGGACGCGCGAGAGCACTCGTGGTCAGTGTTAACCAGTTGAAGACCGAAGACGGGGTGGAGGAGGTAGGGGCCCGAGACCCCTAGTCCCGCCGTCCTTGTGGGGACCGGGGCCCTGTGTGGCTCGGAGCCGAGACTGGGGGGACCGTAGTCCGACGCCCGTGTGGGTCGGGACGGTGGTACCCAGAGCCGAGACGGGCATCCGTGTAACTACAAGTTGGTGAAAATAAAGAGTGTGCTACCCGTGAAGTCGTCTCCTGCCGAGTTACTACTTTACACATACACCACACACACACTACACACACACTATGCACACACACTACACACCACACACACACTACACACACACACCACACACACACTACACACACACTATGCACACACACTACACACACACACCACACACACACTACACACACACACCACACACACACTACACACACACTACACACACACTACACACACACACTACACACACTATACACACACACTACACACACACACTACACACACACACTATACACACACTATACACACACTATGCACACACTACACACACACTACACACACACACTACACACACACACTACACACACACTACACACACACACTACACACACACTACACACACACACTTCACACACACACTACACACACACACTACACACACACACCACACACACACTACACACACACTACACACACACACTACACACACACACTACACACACACACCACACACACACTACACACACACACTACACACACACACCACACACACACACCACACACACACTACACACACACACTACACACACACACGAAGGTCTAACCGCACGGTGACCTCACCTGGCTCCTCCTGACGATGACGCGGTAGAGGAACTGCGCCGTCGCCTGCCCGCTGCTCGCATCCTCCCCGCTGGCGTGAGCCTCACGCAGCAGACTCACGACCACGGGGCCCAGGCGATCGGTGAGCCCCACGTAGTTCTGGTGCTCTGAAGGACCCACAACACGTGGGGCGGGGGGGGCATCAGCACAAGTGTCAGACAGCGAGGCTACACGGGGGCAATGCATGGCGTTTGACGTGCGTGGCTGTGAGACATCACGGAGGCTCAGTGTCACCAACACGCTTGTCAACTGTGCGAGATCTGCCCCCCCCCCCGTATTGACAGTGAACTTCTTTGGCGCCGTACGTAGCCAAACGTGATGATCGGAGGTGGGCGGGGGGGGGGGGGGTAAGGCCAACAAACTACACACACAAAAATCAGTTCGGTACAAATTAGTTTTCAATCGAGGTGACGTTTTCAAAGTGCGCAACTAATATTGGATAGCAGAACGTTCCCGACGGCCGCAGAAGCGCGTCTCAGTTCGGGACGCGCAGAGACGGTGGCTTCATTGCTCCTGGAGGAGGTCAGCAATGTGCGCAGTTCGTGTCCCTGCCAACTCTACGAGGCTTAAGCGCACTGGCTGATTGCAATGAGAACGACTTCACACTGCCCAGAAGCGTGAGCGGGGCACCACGTGGTTGTTTTTGGGGGGAATTATAGACCGAGATGATATTTGGTGGACTCCTTTAGTGTTTTTTTTTTCATGAATCCATGTCGCCCTTGAGCTGCATGGGGCTCTCAACGTTGTGATGTAACACGTCGTAGCAGGAGGCTTTCGTGACCAATATTGTCCATAACAGAGGGATTTCTTTGGGTTAGATCGCGTAAATATGCGACGTGCCGTTAAAGCCCGCCACCACGGTCACTTAGTCAGGGTTGTCACGTGAGCAAAGCGAATCCTCCGAAGCAGGAGGATGTCCCCACACATCTGGCCGTCGCCCGATGAGGCTGGTTGTAATGCCCAGTGAGACGTCACGGCATTGGAATTGTCAGTGTTGGAGTGGGTTTACTCTCTAGCACACAAGCGGTTAGTGCTCAACTAGTGACGAATTGCCACGTTCTGTTTACGTGACAAACCTTACTAATTGGCCGTGTCGGGTGGTAGCGGGTTTAACGACACATTTATATATTTACGCGATCTAACCCACCCCCCCAAAAGAACCCATCTATTGTGGTTTTGCTTTGTTTACGTCCGCCTGGAGCAACAGAGCCCAAGACAAATCCACCTGGCGGTGAATTGCTCGGGATGGGAGAAGGTCGTCACGAATCCGATAACAAAATAAGTAATCTTGATTTGAAGCTTTCGTGACTGCAGGAATCCATACTCATACTCAAGGCGAAAAAAATATTTTTCATTTTTAATGATAGAATATAGTATTGTCATGAGTATGACATAAGTATACCAAGTTTGCAGTCGATACCATATTGGGAAGTGGGTTAAAATTGAGCTACAAGATTTGAGGATACAACGACAACAACAACAGTAGACAGAGTGAGTTAAATAAAAGCGTGCAACACAAAAAAGCCGAGAAAACTGCCCTCCACGGAGCCACCTTTTTGGTAGAAGAACTTCCTGTAATAGCGGGCGCCCACGTCCTCGTGCTCGATGCAGAACGGCGACTCTGGCTCCGGCTCGGGCTCCTGACCGGACCGCGTCTCGGGCTCCAGCACCGCCACGCTCGCGTTCGTGCGCCACGACCCGGGGCGATGCGCCGTCGACGACGCGTCGCCGCCGCCGCCGCCGCCGCACAGGTGAACGCACCTCTCCTCCTCGGGGCCGATCTCGTTGAGGAAATTCGTGCAGCTCAGGAGGAGGTCGTTGCTCTTGCCGTCACCGTCGTCCTCCTCCTCGGCGGGGGGGAACGTGGCGTTGGGCTCCCTGTTGTTGAGGAGCGGGCTGCTCGGCTGAGATGCCGCCGAGGCTCCCGTCGTCACGTTCTGACTCGCCGCCAGACCGAACGACGTGTCCGCGTCCTCGTCCGCCCTGAACAGGATGCTCTGCACGTCGTAGTGGGCAAAGCATCGCCCGGAGGCTCCGGGCGAGACTCCGACCCCGTCGTCGGAGGCCGACCCCTGGCACTCGACGGCGCCCGACCTGTGCGAGCTCTCCGTCGACTTGGAGCCGCAGTCGTGGGCCTTTTTCTTGAGCGAGATCTGCATGTGCTTTGTCCGAAAGGCCGCATTGTGGCTCGGGTCCGAGTTGTACTTGCTCAGACGAGTCTTTGTCGATTTATCGTTCGCCCGCGGCTCCTTGCCCGGAGGCCACGCGGACACGCTGGAGCGCGCTTTGGGACTCTGCGGTTCGGGGAAGGCGACCGCCGAGTGCTGAGCGCCGTCGGGTGCGTCGCGAGGGCACGCAGCCTGGGCAAGGCTTCCTTTGAGCGATCGCCCGAGGTGCAGCCCCTTCTTGGCGGGAGAGGAGCTCTTGAGCGGAGCGTGTTCATTCATCTTGGGAGTCTTAAGAGGCGATGTACAGTCATAATCGACGATAAAACAGCAAGCGCTATAACGGACAGAGATAGTGTCCCAAACAAGGCTTTTCAGACACGTAGACTATAATATTGCAGGATACATTTTCAGGCTTGCCCTCGATTTTCTGTCGCGGTTTCGAAAGCCGTAATTGACGAACAAAAGCCGTGGGTGACTTTGTCCGAAACGAATATTCCGTTTGCAATCGAGGCCTGTGGCCACGTCTCTCGCTGCTGGATGGTATCGCGGGAGATTGAGAGGCTTGTGATGCCAGTCCTCGGCGTCGGCGGCTACCCTGCTGCCAGTAGCTCCTGCTGCTGCTGCTGCTGGTGCTGCCAGTAGCTCCTGCTGCTGCTGCTGCGGGTTGGCACGACCTGCCGCCCGCCGTGACGATCTCTCACTCCGGGTGTCGATTCTCCCTGCGTCGTCACCTCGCTTTGCGCGCCTCTACAAGGGACGAGATCGCACGGTCAGCGTTAAAGTTAACGGCAGAGAGGATCCGTGGACTCGCTTCTGTTGTGTTCGATCGGGTCGGTAGGTGAAGAACAATGCTCGATTTTTATTGCTTTTCAAAGTTGCGGTATTTGTTGAAAAATACGACCGCTTTGGGACATACGTGCCAGCTTGATTTTATTGGTTCTGAACGTATGTTGAATTTCTAGGTAGCCAACCATGCTAATTGGAGGTGCGGGGGAAGGTGGTGGAGGGTTATAGTAAAAAATAAATACATCATACTTTACACGATGATCTATCGAACCAAAAACAAACCAATAATGAAATATGATATTGATCGTGAAAGCCCACATATGCAATTGACTGAATATCAGTGTTTGAATAGATCGCAAGAAAGAAAATACTGAAGGTAAAATATCCCCGAGGAATATTTGACCGTCGGTACACCAGAATGTACCACACTCCAGAAAGTAATGACGCACCTCTTGCCACGGCAGCTCTCTCGCCCACTTCAGCATTTTTCTTCTTGCTGTGGTGTCCCCACCTGATGAAGATTGCTTGTGTTGCGATCGAAACGTCATGCTTTGTTTTATTTTATATTATTCTATTTCTACCTACGCGACTTTACCAAAAGAACCACAGAGTAATTCCTGCAGTCACGAAAGCTTCGAATCAAGTTTAAATACAGAATCGCTGGGCCAACGTTGGGATACCGTTGGCCCAGCGGTTCCAATCACATGCCAACGTTGCCGCGACGTTGGCACGTTTGTTGTCGTATCGGGCAGAGGTGGCCAGACCGTGGCTCACGAGTCGCGCGTGGCTCCCGGAGGAGTTCAAGTGCGGCTCGGTGGAGAAGCGGCTCGCTTCGAACTCTTTGACTGAACTTAATCCGGAACGGAAAATAAATCTGCGATCGCGGGCGGCGGGCGGACCTACCTCTGACACGCACCCCAAAGTTGCTTTGTTGATGACAGAATTACGTGGCAAGGCGCTGTATCGGAGAATGGCTGTCAAGATGTCTCACGGGACCTCCTTCAAGTGACCTTTTGACCCCTGTAGACAGTTGGGCGTTCATCTTCCTACACTCTGCCAAGATATTCTCCCATGTTAAGTCAAGACAATGATAAAAAGAGATGTTACCCTCTCTCCACTTTTCTCTTATTTCAGTAAAGTAGATAGAAAATCAATAGATCACGACGTTTTGATCGCAACGCAAGCAACCGTCATCATGTGAGACAAACACAGACACTTTAGCGAAAGAACCTGCAGTCACGAAAGCTTCAAATCAAGATTTACCCTCTCTGGCAATGAAACGGGTGTTCAGATGTTCAAACAACAAATAGATTCCTCTTGCAAGGAACCATGTCTGCATTAACCACACGCACGCATGCTGGACATGCAAACACAAACATGCCGTGATAATAGGTGGCTTTATATTTGAAGCTGATTGGCCTACACCAGAGACAGCCTCCTTCAGGGCCTCGTCTCTGTACCAATTGTCAGAGCAGAGAACTCCACAAGGCGAACAGCACCAGGACAATGCCACGTGGCAGAGCATTTAGAGCCTCGGGGTGAGCAGCTGCATCACGGGCCGTCCATAAATGACGTCACGCGATTTTGGAAGATTTTGACCCCCCCTCGTCACACGGCGTAACAAAAAGTCAGACCCCCTCAAATATGACGTCACAAAGCTCTGCCCCCCTCCCAAAAAATAAAACATGCTTCAAATCGCTTTAAACTATTGCCATTGTAGTGCGTATTTGATGTGGCGCTGCACTCTGATGTTGAAGGAGAAAACATTTATTAAAACGTCTATTTATTTAAGCAGAACGTGTCGTCTATATTTATTTAAAGTTGCGCATTTTGATGTGACGTCACATTTCTCAAACCACCCCCCCCCCTTCGTCACACATCGTCACAAATGTCTGACCCCCCCCCCCCAGGTGCGTGACGTCATTTATGGACGGCCCCTCACGGGACCTTCTTGTGTGTTTAGTTTGTTGTCCTTCCCCCGATGAACACGGTTGGCTTCGCACGGTGACGGCCGACCACGTTCCAAGACAATGCGTGTTCTCTTTGCATCTCCACCAAGGCCGTAATTATAATATATATTGGTCAAAATGTCCCCCCCCCCCAATATATTGCTATAAAAAATAAATCCTATGCCATATAAATAAAACAACAATTTGCTAAACCTTGGCCACAATATCTGGACTTGTCTTCATATAAATCAATGCATAGATTTCTGTTGATATGATTGTGGTTATTTCTGGAGGGGTGCGAGACGTGGGCAGATTTATTTCAGAAAGTAAATCATCGAAAGCACAAATGATGCACGGGCACGCAAATACAACTTACTTTGTTTCATCAAACCCCACGTATTTATCAACAACTAGCGGCAATTACCGGCGTTGCCCGGGCGAAAAAGACAGACACACACGTCGACTTACACACAGACATCGACCCACACACAGAAACACATCGACTTACACGCACACACACACAGATTCCAAAGAACACAGGATGAGATGTTACTATTCTTTGTGCAAGCACTTCCAAGAGTTCATGAACAGTGAGCCTGGTGAAATTTGGGGAGCGCATCGTCAGTAGTGAACCTTTGGGTCCTAGGGTGTTTCGGCCTTTCATACTATACACCCTCCCCAAAGGCGGCCAGCGACAGGGTGATCAATCCTACGCTTGCGTCCCATTCCCAATTAGTCATAGGAGTTGCCTTGTTGTTGATAGCCAACATCCCATGGGACTATGCATGGCACATATGGACTCACACAGACATCGACTTACACGCACACACACACACACATGGACTCACACAGACAGACATCGACTTACACACACACACATCGACTCACACAGCCAGACATCGACTTACACGTACACACACACATGGACTCACACAGACAGACATCGACTTACACACACACACACATATGGACTTACATACACATAGATATATTTTCTTTCAACGATTGAGGTAAAAAGGGAGTTGCAAGGCTGCAGTGAAGGTTTAGAACCACTGCTTTAAGCGATGCACTCTCGCGCGCCCAGCGATGAAGCTTTTTGTTCACCACCCGAGGGTCTGCAGTACAAATTAAGAAAACATTTGCCCAGGTGCGCGCACAGATGATGTGCGCGCCTAGGGGGGCGGTGGCGCAAGTGGTTAGCGCACTGCAATGGAAGCCCGACCACCCGGGTCCGGTTCCCGCTCACCACCGATAACGCCTGGAGGATATTTGAGCCGGTCCTGGGCCTCGTTAACGTCGGCTCAGCCTTAAACGGGTACCTGGCGAGGTGTGCGTAAACATCAACACAGGGGGAGACAAAGGCGGCCGGGAGTGGTTTACTGTGCCGTCCCATGCATGTCACGGTCACTCATTCATTTGGCATCAATAGAGAAATTATATCTACAGCATGCAACACCGCGGTACAGCACTTCATATTAAAAAATATCTCGTTCATTTATTATTTATTTTCAACACAGTCGCTGAGCACAAGCCCAAGTGGCCCAAAACGTCGAGCGGGCAGCAACAAGCAGCACTATTATCAAAGTTGAAACCGATACGAGTCACAACACGTTTCTTGAATTGAGCAGAGTTGTTATTATTCTAAGAGTTTGGTGGGGGAGAAGGGGCGAAAGAATTAGCTCCGCTTGTTAGCACTGAACGCAAAACAACACAACACACGATCATCATATGCACAGTACCTACACGTTTAACAAACATCAATAATTCGTTTTTAAGCCTATTTGTCTCTATGTGAGTGTTGACTCAACGCGAGTCTATGTGTCTCTTTGTAAGTCTGGGTCTCTGTGTGAGTCAGTCTCTGTGAGTCTCTGGGTCTCTATGTGAGTCTCTGGGTCTCTGTGTGAGTCTGTCTGTGTGAGTCTCTGGGTGTCTATGTGAGTCTGTCTCTGTAAGTCTCTGGGTCTCTGTGTGAGTCTGACTCTGTGAGTCTCTGGGTGTCTGTGTGAGTCTGACTCTGTGAGTCTCTGGGTCTCTGTGTGAGTCTGACTCTGTGAGTCTCTGGGTGTCTGTGTGAGTCTGTCTCTGTGAGTCTCTGGGTGTCTATGTGAGTCTGTCTCTGTAAGTCTCTGGGTCTCTGTGTGAGTCTGACTCTGTGAGTCTCTGGGTGTCTGTGTGAGTCTGACTCTGTGAGTCTCTGGGTCTCTATGTGAGTCAGTCTCTGTGAGTCTCTGGGTCTCTATGTGAGTCTGTCTCTGTGAGTCTCTGGGTCTCTGTGTGAGTCTGACTCTGTGAGTCTCTGGGTCTTTGTGTGAGTCTGTCTCTGTGAGTCTCTGGGTCTCTGTGTGAGTGTCTCTGTGAGTCTCTGGGTCTCTGTGTGAGTGTATCTGTGAGTCTCTGGGTCTCTGTGTGAGTCTGTATCTGTGAGTCTCTGGGTCTCTGTGTGAGTCTGACCCTGTCAATCTCTGGGTCTCTATGTGAGTCTCTGGGTCTCTATGTGAGTATATGGGTCACCAATGTGTCAATCTTTAATTTATTATTCGCAGCACAGTTCATGGGGGGGTGTGCAGGGCTGTTATTGGTGCGTTGAGAGGCTCCAATTGAATGCGTGGCTGTGAACACGGCTGGCTCCTACATTGTGGCCAGACGTGTGAGCCGATGGGCCTAATGCAGTGGGTGAGGGGGGGCTGCCGGTAACTAGAATAACAAGAAAGATCATTTGTATTATTTCACCCTATTCGGTTCAATAACATTTTCAAAAAACCCCCTCAATATTTCAAGAGCCGCAATGCACTGTGGGCGAACGCGAGACGGCGGTTAGTCCTCAAGAGCGTCACGAAGAGGAAGCCGCTTCCTTCAAGAGCCCCCCCCCCCCCCTAGACCCCCCCCTTGTGCTGAACGCATGAGTGAGTGGTCCTGTGAATACGCGCGTTCTCAGCGTCCCTCCACGCGTGCGTTGACGTTGCCCTCTGTCCGAGCCAAGGTTGCCCTCCTGTGCAGCCTCTCGTGTGTTATTGCACCCCCCCATTCCCCCCCAGGGCGTGAATGGATCGACCGTGGCCTGCAGGGAACAGATGCCCTGCTCGCCGTTGCGCAACGAGGAAGTCCACGCACGGGCATATTGTGCCACGGGGGGGAGGGACGGGATGTTGTTCAACGCGTGTCTACTGTGGCGGTGCTTTGGGCACTTCCAATAACTGTCAAAAAATGTTACAATGCTCATGAAACTCGACGGCTGCGTGTGTTTGTCACTCCTCGGGCGACGTCACGTATCAGTTGATTCTTTTTTGGGATTTTATGCGGGGTGATGCAATGCCTACTAACCTGTGTGGTTCACCCGGATAGCCGACGTCGTATGCGGCATGTGACGCGTGAAATGAATATGCAAAGCAATTCAAACACACACACAGACTTGAGTATTTAAAATGCGAGTTCCTCGCACAAACAAAAATTCGGTCAAAATTGGTGATTCCCTCCTCGAATGAGCATTGGGGCATTGGTGCTCATCACCTGCTCACAGCCCTGCAGAGCCAGCGGTGGTAATTCCACATTCCTATGATGGGGGCGAGTCTATCTGACGGACAACCACTGTTGACTTCCCCATAAAGTGGTGCTCATTTTATCGACCCCGGAGGTAGGGAGGGAGGGATGAGCTGAGTCAACTCCCCAACAGCTCGGATCTGAACTCGCAGCGTTCCAACTGCGGGTCGCTCGCTCTCCCACTGGCACGTGGCGATTAGAATTCTCGTCTTTGTAGAAAAACCCCTTCACCACATCTTGCCCTCGTGAGATGCCTCCATGCGCTCGAGGCATCCAACCCGCAGCTGATGGACCCGGGGCGAGTGGCTGAGTCTGAGCAGTGTCGGACATCATCACGACAGATATTCACTTCTTCTTCTTCCTACGCTGTTCCGCCAACATCACGAATTAGCGCCACGCTATTCTCTTCTACGCTCGCCTACGATGGCAGCAATGTGCCCCGGGCTACATGCCAACGTCGAGCTCTGTTGCTGCTCCTCTTCCGGTGAATGAGCGATGTCTGCAGAGGATTCGATCGCGTTATTGATCAATGTGTCGCAAAAACCCTCCACCACCCGACACGGCCAATCAGTAAAACAAATGTGTCACGTTAACAAAACGTCAATCGATGAATAATACCGGTTGCCAAAGCCGACGTGTTAAACTGCAGTGGATTACCATACGTTCCATAGTTTCGATTGCACTCACGTGTGTACGTTGAACTTCTTTCGCGCCGTACGTAGCCAACCGTGCTACTCAACCCAGTGGAAGGCCACAATTTCACGACGAACAACACAACTGCCACACACGAGATGTGTTCCAAAAGCAACTCTTCGTGCTCCCGTCTAGCCACGGAATCGTCGTTTCCCCAACACGTCTCTGCGCCGTCACAGCACGCTGAACATTTCTTGTTTCTCACGATAATAGTTCCGGGTGGAACGAGCACTCCGCAACCCGTCCCCCTTGCACCGCAGGCCGGGAGTTGTGGCGCAGATAGTCTCGGCAATGTGCGGTGCCTCTTAAAGTTGAACCCCCCCCCCACCAACTCCCTGCTGCGACATTCGGATGACGGGAGGTTCCCCAGCCCGCCGACAAGGGAAGAAGGAGGCTCCCGTACGTTGCAGAGCGTGCGTCTAAAATATCACGGCAGCATCCGCACCAAAGGTGACGAGGCTCAACGACTGAGGTGCCAATCTTGGTTTGAAGCTTTCGTGACGGCAGGAATCCATACTCTTTGGTTCTTTCGGTAAAGCGCCACAGAGACCCGGGTTGGATTCCCGCTCACGGCTAACACCAAGTGACGATTATCTGAGCCGGTCCTGGGTCTCCTCTAGGTCGACTCGGCCTCAAATGAGCACCTGGTGCGATGCGTAAACATCGCCACTGGGGGAGACAAAGGCGGCTGGGCGTGGGTGCTGGCCAGCCACCTCCGCGTGCGCCGTGCCGGCCTTCATAGGTGCTCGCTCACAGCACTTGCCCCGACAGTCTGTGCAGGCTACGCGGGGGATCTTTGTGCGTAGGATTTATTTCGCACCGTGCACAGCCAAACGTGCTACATCGGAGCTGCGGTGGAAGGACGAGAACCCGAACACACAAAGTACTTCTGAAGAAGCGAGTTTGTCAATCTGGACGATGCTTTAAAAGTGCACCGTATCGGAAGGGAAGAGCGTTCCAGACGGCCGCACAAGCGCGTCTGGAAGCGCCACGCGTTGTGGTGACCGCCGTCTTGGTCCGATGCCTCGCCACAAGCCGTTGCGAGGATGAGCGGAGTTGGCGTGATGATGGTTTCTGCTCCTTGACGAGCTCAGCCAAAGGTGTTGTGGTCCATTGTGGCGAGCACTTTGCGTGTGATGAGTGCGAGCTTCGTCTGAACGTAGTCAGCAGATGCCAATGCAGCTGGGCGAGCACTCAACAGACGTGGTGGGGATCTCCCACAGACGGTTGTTTTGGCCACACACACACGCGCACGGGTGTGTCGGGAATTGAACGCACGCTCAGAAAGACTTCCAATACCTTCCAAACGCATGCCTCGCCATTGTTGCAGTCGCTCACATTTCGCCGAATTGAATATTCGCCATCGTCGTCATCGTCGTCATCGCTCATCCTGCCTCCGATGGCTGCCGGTGTCGCGACTCGAGCTGGCCTCACGGCGCCGCCGGTGAGTGGCGGGACGGGTTCCCCAACTTCCCTCCGACCCATCTCCTCCCTGTCCTCAGCACGTGTGTCCCTCAGCACGTGTGTCCCTCAGCACGTGTCTCTCAGCACGTGTGTCTCTCACCACGTGTGTCTCTCAGCACGTGTGTCTCAGCACGTGTGTCTCTCAGCACGTGTGTGTGCTGTCTCTGTGTGTTGTCTCTGTGTGCGTAGTCTCTCTCCACCCACCAGTCCCTCTCCCCACCTTCCCCTCGTGTGGTCTTCATTCGTTCCCGCGTGTCGGGTCCACCCCCCCCCCCATCATCCTCGAGTCGGCGCTCACTCGGGGACAGCGCCTCGCGTGCCCCCCAACTTTGCGTGCCCCCCAACTTCGCGTGCACGTTGAACTTCTTTCGCGCCGTACGTTGCCAGACCGCGCGGATCGAGAGGGGCGCGCGATGGACGATGCAACACGGCCTGGAAGTGGTAGCGCGATGGACGGTATCACAATCGAGGGGTTATTCCCCCGTCCCCCCATCTCCCCTTTGGATTAAATACGCGCAAAAATACAAATGTGTCGTTAACCCCGCCGCCACCCAACGCAGCCAATTCGCGATGGGGTTTGTCGCGTAAACAGAACGTGCCAAGTGGTTACGAGTGACAGCGCGCCGGCTGTGTGTTGGAGAGTGAACCCGCGAGCACTTGCCATTGATGTCACGCGCTCGGACGTTTTACGGCATTTTAAGTTAATTGACGCGCACGTGTGCGGGGTGTGCGGGGTGTACGGGGTGTGCAGGGTGTGCACGCGTGCGCCTCCCGTGAGTGCAAACGCGAGAAACATTGAACAGGGCGGCGTGACAGCGCTCCGGCACTTGCCGTGAGACTCCACGCGAAGTGTCGGTGCGGTGCGACGTTCGTCAACGTTCGCAATCATAACCACGAAGTCGCTCACGAGACATTCCGCAACGCGTCGCGGCGATTTAAACTTTAAAAGTCAAAACTCAATCCGCTTACGTCACACACCACAGCAGAGGTATTCTTCTTCTTTGTACAATCCCACATCTTATTTGACACACGTGCACACACACAACGTGAAGTGACGTCCAAGAACAGACGATTACCCAACGACCCCCATCAACAAACCCACCAAAGCCATCGCCCCCACGGCACACGGCCACAGCTGCAGCTGCAGCAGCAGCATTCCGACTCACCCCAAGTCCGCCGAGGCGTCGCGTCAATGGTGAGGGTCGAGATCGCCCCCTCGACGACGCTGGGGGTGTTCGCGAAGAACGAAACTCGTCGTTCGGCCGCGCGCACCGCGTCAACGTCGCCGCGGACCGGGACTCGTGACAGCAGCGACGGCAAGCCAGGAACTCGGAAGGCAACGATAGTGCCTCGTTATGAATTGCTCGTGGGCGTTGCAAGATAATGCAGCCGGCTTCGGGGTTTTTCTTTTCACACCCCCCCCCCACCCCCTTTCTTTCTGGGAGCTAAAGGGGGCCCTGCTGAAATGCCAGCCTTCTGCCCCCACACACAAACACACACACACACTACTTCCCGCAGTCCGCTGCGAGCAGAGAGGCTGGTTATCAGCTGAAACGCACACGCCGCACGCACACAGAAGTTACCGCATCGCCGTCAATTCCGTTCCACGCTTGCCTCTTTCACATATTGGATTTTACGATAGCCACAATGGGAGTGTAAAAAAAAATAACCCGTCGACTAACTTCCTCAAGCAAATATCGAAACCCCCCCCCCATCCTCAAAGATAAAAGTAACCACGCCGTGCACAACTGTTCCCATACAACCACGGTCTTAAGATTGTTGCATTTGAAAGAAGGCATTTGTAGCGTTCATTTAGAACGCGGTGCGCTCCCCTTTAACACACACACACACACAAATATATAAAGTTCGGCCGTGAAAGTTCACCAAAGTCGCCCACGTGGCAGGCGTGGCACGCGTGAACCTGGTCCCACGGCGTGCGCGTGTTAACCACGGCCCCTCTGTCAATACACCGCTGGATGTTGGACTTCTTTCGCGCCGTACGCGGCCAACCGGAGGTGCGGGATGAGGTCCTGCCCTGTGCCCCGTGTGGATCGTGGTGGGGGGGGCGGGTTATGTGGCCATACTTCACCACGCTGCTCTGGGCGCGTTGGTGAAGGCGAGAGAACAACGATGTATGGGTTCATAGAAGTACTGTACAACGACCGGTTGTTGCTGGAGTGCCCTCCCACAACACAGCCCTGCAGCAGCCTGCAGCAGTTGCCCTGCGCATGGTTGGTTGGCCCATAAGAGGAGCACGATCCAGGCGCGCACACGGATCGCCTGCTGAGCTTCCGACACGCCACGAGGTTGAGAGCGCGTCCCGGGCTGTTCTTTTGGTTACAGGGAGTTTAGATTTGAAGCTTTCGTGACTGCAAGGATTCATATTCTTAGGTTTTTTCGGTAAAGTCACGTAGGTAAAAAATTAAAATTAATAAAAGTAAGCTATGGTACTGTGACGGTTCCACCTGAAGACGGAAGCTTGTGTTGCCTCCGAAATGTCGTGATTTTAATTTTATATTTATTTTACTTTTATTAATTTAAATTTTTTACCTACGTAACTTTACAGAAAAAAACCCCTAAGAGTACAGGGAGTTTGTTCGTCTCCGAGTGTGCGGCTCTGTGGCCAACTCACTCGCCGTTCAACTGCCTCGCCGTGTACACCGTGTTCGTCAGCACGAATCAAGATGACTATTGAACGACGACAACAACGGCGGCGGCAGCAGCAGCAGCGTTTCAGAATGGCGCCTTGTCGTCGTCACGATCTGCTCGCTGCTGGCTGCGATTGGACGTGGCAGAGACCAAGCACGGTGGCACGTGTCAGCAGTGACTCCCGGAGAGAAGTTTTGGGGCCGTCATTAAATGACGTCACGCGATTTTGAACGATTTTTGACCCCCCCCCCCTTCGTCACACGGCGTCACAAAAAGTCAAAACCCCCCTCAAATATGACGTCACAAAGCTCTGCCCCCCCCCACAAAAATATGAAACATGCTTCAAATCGCTTTAAACTATTGTCATTGTAGTGCGTATTTAATGTGCCGCTGCACTCTGATGTTGTAGGAGAAAACATTTATTAAAACGTCTATTTAATTAAGTAGAACGTATTCTTGGTTCTTTTGGTAAAGTCACGTAGAAGGGAAATAATAAAATAACAAAAATATAAAACTATAAAAATTCTCATGACGTTTCGACTGCAACACAAGCAATCATCATAAGTAGAACGCGTTGTCTATGTTTATGTAAAGTTGCGCATTTTAATGTGACGCCACATTTCTCAAACACCCCCTCCCTCGTCACACATCGTCACAAATGTCTGCCCCCCCCCCCCAGGTGCGTGACGTCATTTATGGACGGCCCCTTTAACTGCGGAGTATCGTTCAGTCGCTGCTGCAATGTCGCACGATGCTGAACTTCTTTCGCACCGTGCGTAGCCCACCGTACTCATCGGCGTTGTGGGGGTAGGCCCAGTGCCGGACTAAACTAGTGCGGGGCCTGTAGCGTATGTTATGAAGGGGCCCTAAATAAAAATAAAACACGTAAATATTAAAAACATACATTTACAACTTGCATAGTAAAGTAATTGTATTGTTTAATTTGTTATACAGCCAGATAATACGACAAATCGCTAACCTTAAACGCCCAGTCGTTCATAACAGTTGAAGGCGGTATGGTACTATAGTAATAGAGCTAGTGCAGAATCACTGAACCGGAATTGATAGCTTGACAGGATTTAGCGCGGGGCCCTTGAAAGTGCGGGGCCCGTAGCTACTACTTATGCAGTAGCTACTACACTACTTATGTAGTAGATACTTTTGCTACTAGAATAATCCGGCACTGGGTAGGGCAACAAACTAACGGTGCAACACCCACGACGTTGTTAGCAAGAAACACGAGACAGACTTGAGGCGTAGTTATACTGGTAGGAACGAAGTGGACCAGACCACCAATAGATTAATGCGTCCGTCCGTCCGTCCGTCCGTCCGTGGGAGGGGTGGTGTTGAGGGTGGTGTTGGAAATGAAAAACTACGAGTCTTTAAATCTCACAGCGTTTCTTGTCAAACCAAACACTTTTAATTAACGTTACACTAGAATACAGTATTTTTTTCTTTAACTCCTCTATACCCGGTCGATATCTCTGTACCGGTACTAAGTATTATTCCTACCAGCCCACCCCGCAGGGTCCTGTTTGTGAGTCTAACGGCGGTGTAGTCAACCCCATTGCTTCACAGCTTTGCTCTACATCTGTCACTCTCGATGCAGCACAGATGCTGTCTCTCTTTATCTCTCCATCTCTCCCATGCGAGCTTGGCGCTCTTGTTCAGCACGTGGCCCACTTACTTGCACGGGCACACCTTTGTCGGGCTGTCAGTGTTTGCGTTCGGGCTGTCATCGTTCAAACTATGCGGGAACACCACCCAGCGCGTATCTAACGCGCGCGTCTGTGTCTGTGCACGTGCGTCTATCTGCGTGCGCGTGCGTCTTGTCATCTGGGGTGGGGAGCGGCGGTGTCGCTGTTCGCGCGACGCTGCGCTAAGGACGCGCCGAGTCCGCGCTCGATTCACGCTCGCACGACGAACGACACCGGTTTTGGCGATTACCTGAACCGGTCCTGGGCCTCCCGTAGGTCGACTCGGCCTCAAATGAGTACCTGGTGCTGTGTGTGGTAAACATCGCCGATGGGGAGACGAAGGCGGTCGGGCGTGGAGCTGGGCACCCACCCACTCGTGTGCCGCGCCGGCCTTCATAGGTGCTGCTCGCTAACAGCACTTGCCCCTACAGTCTGTTACAGGCTATACGGGGGATCTTTGTTATATGGGTCAACGACTTCCTGGGCATCATCATAATCAGACATGATCTATGCCCTGCTGGGATGACGATGATGATGAACGTTGGTGCCATTGTCCCGGTTTGTGATCTGTGTGATGTCGGGCAATCCGCATTGATTTGAAGTTGTCACTTCGCTGTTTATTGTCAAGTTCAAGTTTACAACAATCACTCCAACCCGCTCCCACATGCCTCTTTGTGTCATCACTGTGATCCTGGTCCAACCTCAAGAATTGCCCACGGTGCACACACACACACACGCATACTCGTATGTATCTATGGAATCCTTTTGGTCGGTATACAAAATGATGAAAATTAAGAAGAGGTTTTGCCCTCTCTGGAAATAAAACAGGAGGTGTTCAGATATTCAAACGCCAAATAGAAACATTTTGCAAGTCATCAAGTCTGCAGTAACCACACACAGTAATTGTGGCAAAACCTTGCAAACAAACCTGCTCTGATAACACTGTGTATTTTATTTATTTATGTTCCTGGGTCGTAAGCATTATTTCCCAATTGCTTATGCCTCAAACGTACAGAAAATGGCTATTAATCCCCACCATCTTTGTTTTTGTGACCAGGACACTGATATTTTAAAATTTACATATTTTCCAGAACATTCCAGATAAATTCAGTGCCAAGTAAACTTGGAGTAACTTCTAGAACATTCTAGAACTTTCCAGTAATATAAATAGTAGTATAAATACAGGGGCCTTAAGCCCACCAGTTCAGTTTAGTTCCAGCTGCCTAACTGGATACATATCTGCATTTTTCTGAGATGGCATCAAGAGGCTGCAAGCATCCGGCAGACGCATTTTGCTATGTCTGCGGCCAATTTATCAAGACAAGAGCGAGAAAGTACTCTGCAGAAGCATCTGCTAAGATGTGTGAGACCTACACGGCATATTTCGGCATGCCTGTCGGGATCAAGACAAACCCTGGGCACCTCAATTCACCTGTGAGCAATGCAAAAAAACTCTGGAAGGTAAGATGGACAATTGTTGCTCGGAATTTTATGTTCTAAAATATGTTTTATAATATTAAATTGTAAACATTTTTTTTATGTTTTACAATTTTCAATGTTATTGAAAACAATATATCATAGATGAAAAATGTTGCGAGAATATTTTACACATTAGTAATGGGTGAAATAAGTGTATTTTTGTAGGATGGTACAGAGGGGAAAAGAGAGCCATGAAGTTCGCTATCCCAAGAATTTGGTGGGAACCCACTGACCACTCAAGCAACTGCTACTTTTGCATGGTGGACTCTTCCAAACGTCGGACTGGCAAGAATGCACCTGCTATCACGTATCTATCGCCCCGGTGCCACGCTGCCATGAGCTCCCCGTACCCACTCCTCCAGAGAGAGAGGAGCCGTCTTTAGAATAGAGCAGCAAGTCAGAGAGCGAGGAAGACGTTGTAGATCCAGATGAAAATTTCAGAGGTGGAGCTGAGGAGAGAAACCCATACTACCCCAACCAAAAATACCTCAACGACTTGATCAGAGATCTTGGTCTCACCAAGTCAAATGCCGAGCTTT